TATAGCCACAGTACAAGTAACGTCGCTGCCCTGTCAAGTGCTCCTTTTATTTTTTACCTCTCCACTGTCTGTTTACATATGTACACTATTTGAAAAGGTTCTTTATCTTTTATAGATTCGTTAATTTTTTTGTGTAATAAAAGGAAATTGTATTAAATTCAAGCTCCAGGGATGCTCCTTTTCTTCTCTTCGCTTTTTGCTAAAATCATGCAGCTTCTAAAGTGGTTTGAATTATGTGAGATTTGTATGGTGGTAAGTCTACGCTTAAAAGGAGAGCGTAAGGGAAGTTTGCAAAGACTAGTGGTAGTATTTTAGAATGAAAAGATTCACCTTTTGGTCGTTCATCTAAATTCTGTGAAGATCGCCTTTGAAAGATGACTACTAGCAAAAAACTTACAAATTACGCGAGAAGCTGAATTGTAGCTATGTGATTATCTGCAGGCATCTTGAATGTTTGTCACCTATTCAAATATCAGAGGCCTAGATGTCTTATAAAACTAAATGAAGAGCATAAGGGAACAAGGCTTTGCAGTATCTAATCCAGTGTTAAGCAGCACCCAGCCACAGCGGTAATTTTCTCCGCAGAGCCAGGGAATTGGCGTTTTCACGTCAGTACGAGACAGGAAGAGAAATGGGCAACTTCGGAAGATATTCCTAAGCCCGGAGTTAAATCAAATCCCCATCCGAGAATAGTGACGGTTTGCGTTTGGTGAGATGTGGAGGGTTTTAGACAGCTTTTGAAAAAAAACTTGGCCGTCAACAAACGTTTGTATACGACCCGATTACATCGATTGATCCATCTAACAAAGAAGACTGCGTAGACAACACAAAGTCATCCTTTTCTAGGGCAACGCTAGGCGTACATGCTAAGGTCATTGAAACCATTCTGCACGAGCTTCGGTAGATACTTCCTTTTCTTCCATTGCATTCTCCAATTCATGTGTTCAATGACAAATAGAATTAGTGACTGTATATCCGACAGTGAAAAGGCTCTTAAAAACTGGCTGGACATATCCTTCGACGACAAAATTTTAAAAAGTTCTGGTAAAAACAACTAGGCAAGTTTGCTGAGAGATGGGAAAGGTAATTGAGGTGGTTAAGAATTTGTTAGGGGAATTCTAATGAAAATTGTATTCTTTACATTACTTTTGTTACAATCGCATATAATAATAATGAATCACTAATGTTTACTTAAATAATGGAGAAGTAATTATTTAGAGGAGGTTTTATGTAAAGGGAACTTGAGTTTACCTTGGCCGAAATAGGCGAAATCGATTTTTATAATATATGAAAAACATACAATATACTATAATTTGTTAGTTGTCTTTGACTTTTACCACCTATCAGCATACTGGAGCCGCATTTTAGGCTGAGTTTAGCCCTATGCTCGTTTACGCTCACTTCTGTTTTAAGCACTTTTTTTTTAATAATATTCATACTGTAATTTTCGTTAAGATTTTTGTAGGATTGTGGAGGACGTCAAAAAAAAAGGAAATATAGAAAAATTTTCACCCAAACCTCTATCATTGCACACGCTCACATCGTTTTGGTCTCTATACTTACGAATAGACAAAGCCGTCACTTCAACCTCTTCAAAGGCACGTAATCAGTGGCCATTATTCAACAAGCAGTAGAAATACTCGAAGTAAAATGCTCAATGTTAAGTAATGATTTTCTAACAAGGCTTTTATTGACACCATCAACAGTTCATACGTGTATATTGTTCCACGGCATCTTCGAATTACTTCAGCATGGAACATTAGTTGTATTCTAATCGCCTTATGATCACTATAGGCAGAAGTAGCGTGCTTTTAAAAGGACAGTAAAAACGTTAATTTTTGTGTGTAAGAAGACAACTTGCTAAAAAGTTGCGCATGTAAAGGTTGTATACTGCTTTTTATTACAATTAACTGTTTTTGTCTATGTCTGCCTACTAGGATAGAACCGTGTGTCAACTTTTATTGTGCCTCCTTTTATGTACACACAAATTGAATAACATTAACAGATTTAGAATTTTCCAGCATATTCCTTAATAATTAGAACTTAATCTATAACATCAATATTGTTCTCCTATTGAACTGAAGTTAATTTATCAACAATATTAGTATAACGTACTATTAAGTTGTTTGTAAAGCGGTGGCAATTTTTCGTTATCGATTGTTGTTGTAACTTTTTCCCGATGATTAAGCGGCGCAACCCTTTGCTGGTTGCACAAGGCCATTGCCATTGGCCAAGCTTGGTCTACCCAAGATGGATATGTCAAATGAAAAGAGTTCATTTGCCGTTGTTCAACACCGATATTTTGATAAAAAAAAAAAACTACACAAGGACATTTGTTGTATGTGTTGTAAAGATTCTATAGCTAGGTGACAATCATTCAAAAATAAAAGTTCTTGTCAAAGTCTAATGGCGCGCATTTTTTGAATCAAAATTTGCCTAATGGTTGAACGTAGTTAGCAATGTCTGAGTAGTACTATCAACTAAAGAATCTGCGTCATGCCCACATTGCGGATTGTTTTGGCAGCCTGTTGTCCTCAGTATGAGATAAATAATAAAAAATAAACAAAATGCGGTGTTTGCCACCGAGCATGCGGAATACAAAGACGTCACACTTACAACTCGAATGTTGAATAAAACTTGGTACATTATTAGGTTTTAAAAGGTCATAGGTCATAGCGAATATTGCAAAGTAGTACCGTTCCATCTGTGGACATTTGAAATGTCCAGTCTACTTACGACAAAAGGTTTTTCATTAGAAAATTTTACACGTACATGCGAATGAATCCACGCTCGAGTCACGTCATGGTTCATGTACATGCCCAGTTTCAATAAATTTGGAAATGAAGGACGTATCGTCGTACAGTTCATTATAATAGCGGTAACCTATCCAGCGTTGATTCTAATAAAGTGTCTTAAAATAATGTATACAATTTGATTGGACCTTTCGTTTATGACCAGCCAGTTACTGGTGCCATTTACCTGCAGTAATCTACTTTAGTGCAGATTCGGGAGGACTCTAATGAAAATGACGAATTTTCACTTCAACACTGCGGAACACCTTCACGCCATCATTATGATATAAAAGCATTTTTTAATGGAAATCTTCCAAATAGATAGCTTAAACAAAAAAGGTCCCACAGCATTTCCTACCAATTCTAGACCGAACACCAAGAAACTCTCCTTGTGGAGGTACTTTCAAGATAAAGTCTACGATACGATACCGCAAAATTTAAGCCGTTAATTTAGTTTGTGAATTGATAATTCGCCATTATTAGCATTGCCTTGACTATGTGCGGTACACGGGAAGGTTATACATTCTATATAGATTCTTCTACGATTCAAATACTGTTTACATGAAAATAGAAACAAAACGTATAATAATTCAACCTATTTTTAGGTTTTTTGTTACATACAGTATACATATTCGATATATTTTGTTAGACCTTTAGAATATACACAGGTATCGAACAGTTACAAAACCTGCGAACAATTTATACAACACGAAAAATCTAATTCGGACTTCGCAATTAACAGAAAACTTTTTTGCGTGCCGAAAACACAGAAAAATAATTTCCTGCTGCCTTTCGCCTTGAAGGCTTTGATGTGCTTTACCCTCATCTGCTTTCGATAGCACAATATACTGTATACCTATTGCCGGCAGTGTTAGTCATACGAAAGAGAACAAATGAAACCTTTCAGACGTTTCTTACCCTATTCGTGATTCCTGTTTGGAACTATACGCGATATAATGCACAGGATCTCAACGATGCCTTTTACTTGCACACGCGTATTCCCCAGCTAACTACCTCAATGGAGTGAGATCTATGAAGTAGCTTATGGGTACCTAACACAGTCACATATTATCACTCGTTGCGACATAATTAATACGATACGAGATGCAACGGACAATTCAACAACGGATCAGTTAGATGCATTTGTGTTTTCACGCTTAAAATTTATCATCATTCTATTTTTAATTAACTATATAACAAAGCCTAAAGTCTAGTTTGTCTTTATTATTTGACGTAATAGTTGATGGGTTAAAGCTTAATTGTTGAGTTGCCCAGCTGATACAGATTTTTAAAGCTGATACAGGACTGACGCTTTCTGCTGAATTAAACACAGATATATGACATTTTCACATATAGTCTGTGTCAGGCAATTATCAATATTACATGTACATGAGCTATCTTTATTAAACTGTATTATTTGATGCAACCTCTGCATTGCACACTTATCGCATTACACATATATGTCACTCTGTTTGTAGATAGAAAATGGTGGACTCTGTGTTAATGTGCGGGTTTTTTTTTTGGAAGTACAACATTTCGAAAAATCAGCCTAACTTTGGTTCATGTTGTGTGGGAAATAAGAGGAGGTGCTCCCATGAAGCACTGACTGAACTACGTAAAGCAGAAGTTTCTCGTTCAGAAAACAGAAGGACATCTGTTTTTTTTTTACAATTTCTACAATTTTTTTACAAACATCTTAAAACAGCGGGGGGAATACTTTTTACACCTACTTTTTCTTAAAATCGGGATGCAAAAGCGCAACCGTTGAGGCTTGCGGTGATGTATCGTTACGGTGGGCCCTCTAGCATTAAGCTTTTGCCGAAAGGTCTCAATGGCCTAATAAGCCAATATTAGTTAAACTTTTTTCTAATCATCTATTGAAAATGTACGTAGATGCATACCGACAGTAGGGATCGCATCAGGTTTGATGGTGTGCGTATTATAATTTTCACCTATATGGTTATTTAGTACAACAGGTAATTGAATTGTAATAACGATAAGGATAATAATAATAATAATAATAACTATTATTATTATATACATTTGCGAGACCTGCTGAACTAGCCTCGTAACACGTATCTCCTTGAATTCGGTGACTGAACGCTTCTCTCAGCCCTCACTCTCATCAGTCTCAAAGGCCTTGTAGTGGAACGGCGTGGTCAAATATGGCTTGGCAGAAACGCCATGAGCGTCACGCGAGGCTGCTGATCATATCGGTGTGGCTGTTGTTGGAAGTTTGTTCTAGGATTGTCCGAAGTTGACTTCCGGAAATGGCGTCGACGGTGATTGGCATCGGCAATACCCGAGCTCCTCGATGATGGTGCTGATGATGAGCATTGAGCGCCATTCTAGCGGCATGTAGCAAGCGGATTAGCTGGCGGGCCGGCCACGTGCACCGCTGCGCCTCGATCCAACCCTACCAAAGTCTATAGCAGTAAACAGTTATTTGTGAATAACAGGGTATATTATTTATCTTTTAGAAAGTCAATTCCATACAATGCGGTGTTATAGAGTATAATACATTGCCCCGGATAAGGCGGTATAGGATCATTTATACGGTGCTGCGGTATAGCGTTGACGTTAATTAGAATGCACATGCCATCATTAATATATGCATATATACACAAACACACACCTAATAAGGCATCTGGCCAATAACAACCACATCGCGGCACTGACGAAGCAGAGAAGAATGCCCACAGAGGCAAGCTGAGCTGCCCAGCCACCCTCGTAGTGGCGAAACCGCGACAGCAAAGAACACTCAGTCACTGTTGAGGGCAATAGGAATCGATCGTACGGTGTGCCAGTATGCGCACCCTGGATGTGCGTCCTGTAATTGATATATAATTGACAAAGATGAGTAATAATCGAGTTTTCACAAAGGCTGCACCTGAAACGTCACTTTATTCCGGGGTCTAACTCCGCATATACAGTATTGTAACAGGATGATATTCAGAACATAACTAGTTTTTGTAAAGCTGCTTGTCGTCTGTTTGCTTGTCGCATACACTGTCTGCTATATGTGGCAAAGATGTATGCACGAAGCAGAAGTGTAGATAAGTAAATGAAATTGAAAGTTTGTGCTTGGTTTTAACTGTACCAGGTAACAACTATAAGATGCAGTTGAACAAAATAGATTTTAGTATCCGCCATAACATCTGATTGATATACATATATGTCACTTTGATACAGGAACTGCATAAGTTTATGTGTTTCGTTGCAGATGAGAGAATCACAAGCCCCTTTAAGGGTTGAGAAAAATGTATCGGCGCAAAAAGTATAGATGTTTTGGGTTGGTATCACACTTGTCAGTCAACTAATCTGGAGCGCTTGTCATATCCATTGCAGTTTGCGTGGCACGATATCGGTCGTGCCGATAAGCAGATCAAGTAGAGGTGTGACACGCTCTGTGTAGTAAAATTACACATAAAATAAATGCTGAATCACCTTCTGTAATAAGCAGTATTAACTTGCATGGACATGAAAAAATTCAAGGAAGGAAACGATAGATTAACGTATCGTCCTTTAATATTCAACAAAAAAGAAACTTACCTTCTGAAAATCATAAAATAGTACGTAAAGATGCCAAATATCCCAGCCATAAGAAAGAGTACTCCAGTAACCATAAGCGCTGAAAGCTGCTTAAATAGGAGGCCGAAGGCTCCCAAAAGGATTGTCGATGCCACGAGGATAAGCGTTACCAACGAACAGGAAATAGCCAGGTTGCGCATTTCTAAAATACAAAGTAAGCGAATGATTGAAAAGACCACCAACTTGTAAATTTAGATGAAAATAAAAATGCCAGAAAAAAGGATGCAAATTGGTAAAAGACGAGAATAGAAGGGAATAAGTCTTTTTTTTTTGTAACATAACAGTCTTGATAAGAAAGATGCGTTTTGATCATTTTGGTGAGTAGTATTCCGTACAAAAAAAATTAGGGTTTGGAAAACTCATTTTGATGTTTACAAATATTTCGGGAACTTTCAGGACGTTTCGGGACGTAGGTTGCACCACACATTTTATACTGTGCCTGCGCGACGCATGATTACCATGCCTTTTCAAGTTTTACTGGAGAAACCCCAGATAAGTTCATCTAGGTTAGATCCTGTGAGTTTAGATAGCTTAGTCGGTAATATGTTTACCTGCTATTCTTAGGGACACATTGTGGTCAAGATTCGAACCCAAACATAGACAGACTTCATTTCGTGTTGGGAGTCAGCCAGCCGTGTGTCTGATGGAATTATGCCTAACAGGTACTGGAAACATAGAGGCTAGATCTTCTAACGAAGACAAGCCTTTGATGTTAAGCTAATGAGCTAATTTCACTGATTTGTTTACCCACTACATATAACGAAAGTAATCAGATCATCGAGATATCATTTTGACTAAGATTCGTTATGGATCGGACAGAAAATCGGTGTTTTAATGTACTAAAATAAAAATTATTGATGATAACTATAAGATACCAGGATTATTGGCAAGTCCTAAAAACAGTGTCTTAGTATTCCAGGTTATTTTCGTCACCACTGTATTACCAGCGCACAACGGAGAATCATCACCCCCTTTATGTATTTTAATACGGGGACAAGGGGGAAAACTGAACTAGATGTGAAAGCCAAAAAGGGTACCCTAAAACGTAATAAAAATTATGATTTCGTAGCTCGAGTGCCATAAGAGGACGCACCTAGAATGGTCGAGTGGACATTGGGCTGATACTTTTCAGTACCAATAGAAACAATGTCTTTTATTGAAGCCTATAAGTAATATTGAATAAGAATTGCTTCTTTCGACATTTGGAGGCTCCAGAAGAGGCGTTAAATACGTCAGATGTACGTGAATCAACAAATGTAAAATAATTTATTGGCGTAGAAGACTGCTTATAAAAGTTACTTTTATTAACCAGCTACCCTCACCTGTACCTTGTAGAACAACTTTTTAAAATACACTAGCATACTTGCCGTTTATCATAATTTATAAATCTGTAGTATATGCACCACTCAATGTAGTTTAATGTCTGTGTAAAAATAGCTATAAGGTTATCGACGAAGCTACGCACGGGGCTTGTCGGGCGTATGGCCAGACATGAACATCTTATTTGGATCCGTGCGTGTGTGACATTATTCGACCTCCATCTAGGTCTGTGTGCCTAAAAAATCCTAAACTGTCTGATATTATATATGTAGCTGTATTTTATGCCAAGGCTGGTTTCGTTTGTTTTAACTAGATGGCGCACTTCTGTGTGCAATTGTTGCTGTTGTCCAACGAGGTCACATAGTATTTCCAGAGGAGTGTCCTTGGATGCTGAAGTACTAATTAGACATCAAGGACTAGAGTAAGCTCAAAGGCTGTTTTTGAGCAGAAATTGCCTTTTAGGTAAAGTTGTTCCTTGAACAAATGGCCGTTCACAACAATAGCTAATCATCATCTAAAAATTAACGTTATAGACAGTCCTGGATGGGAGAATGGAAGAAAGCACCCATACGTCATAGAACTAAAATTTTGCGACTTACCTTTTTAGTTTTTTTTTCATTCATCTGTGGACTCCATAATTGTCCAGATGGACAACGGTCCTACAACTATAAGGGTCACTCTGCAATATAGACGAAAACCACTTATCTGGGTTTTGGAAACCCGTGCAAACTCGTGCAATGATATATATAATTAGCTGTGATGGAATCAGTTCGGCCGCGCCTAGCCATTATCACGATGATAGTCTAACGTGGCTAATTAACTTACTATTCAGATGTAGGGCCTAGCTGTAATAGTAAATGCAAAACTGATACTCTTTCTGATGCTCTGTTTCGGAAGCTTAATCTAAATAAAGACAAATCTTTTAACAATTTTTTTTGCGTGTGCTTGAAGTGCTGTTTCTGGCGATCATATTTGTTCAATATAAGTGCCATGAGCGGCGATTAAAGCTTCTATTCATTACTTGAATTACTCAGTATTTAACAATATCGTTTCTTTAATCCATATGTAACTTTTTAATAGTAACTACATACGCTTAAATACGTCGCATACAATGCTGAATTAGGTTTTCAGCTAATAGCAGGCTAAAAGTCTCAAATTAAAAGGACTCGAAACGACGACGACGACGACGACAAGTGTAAAAGGCGCAAGGAATCTTAAAAAACTAACTCTTCGAGCTTACCTAGATAACCCAACTGCCAATTGATATTCTCCTCCCCAAAAAAGCCGTTAATTCTTGTATTGAGAATTCGGGTGAATCAAAAATAATTTTTTGAGCAATTTTTGATAGACTATTGATTTCTTTACTTGAAATCTTCCTCGGATCTTACGAAAATACCAATTTGGAACAAAACAAATTTTGCTGGGGGGCTGATTCGGCGCGAAAAGATTGTATATTGGCCAATATTTGCTCAAATCTCAAAAAAGACGTATAGTTTTTTGCGATAATTACTTTGTCGCTTTGTTCTGGAAAGAAGGGGCTTTTGTTTACGTAAAATAGCGAATGAATGCACGCCGCTACGATTAACCACGTTTGCTCGAATTGCAACCTTTATGTATACGCTTATATAGACGCTGTACTTGCTAAAGGATAGGAAGACTGCAACAATTGCAAAATGGTGATTTTATGGCACGAACTTACCGCGTCTCAGTCTCATTATATTGGATTGTCAATCGGCTAGTAATTACAAGAATATTTTTTATTTATTTAATTCTAGTCCCCTCTAAAATTGTATTAACTGAATTTAAAGGCCCCATATATTCTTATGGCGGTAATATACAAAGCACGAATTTGATAACTACAGTCCCTCGCTCTAATAGTAAAATAGTAAGGATATTAATAAAAAAGCATTTTGTAAATTTAAAGAAAAAGCATGTTCGTATGATCAAATTATTTTAGTGTACCAATCAGTACCCCAATATTTGTTCAACGTTATCAAAAAAATCTTTAAAATCCTTGTAAGCCATGTCTTCTGTATCTGTAAAAGAAAAATGACCTGCGGAAAGGTAAAAACAAAACGTGGATTCCTGGCATCCGTATATTTTTTTACCAATACTATGAATGTCCGTATTTTTTTTGCAGGACAACACGCGTGTATTTGTTTTTGAGAACTTTCTTACTTTCCAGCCACGGATGGACATCAAGAAGCTGTTTGCGATTAAGGTCTTCAGAAAGAGCTAGGTAGGAGACACAAGAAGGGAACGCTTCTATCCGCTCCGCATAGAGACGGTCTTCATCTGAAAATGAATAAATGAGTATTAATTTAAAAACAATCTGCAATAAAGAATGGTAGTATAAAGCGCCTCGACTAAGAAGAAATGGGTATATTAAAAAACTTCTTTAAACCTTCTAATTTAAATTTCCTTCGAAAGTTCGGTCCGCAAAATTGTTCTTTTCCTAACTTGACATGCCTGCGTCGATGTCAGCCGGACCCCCGAATTTTGATGCGTCCCTGTATTTTCAATGAAAATTTTTTAGCTTTGTTCCTGTTATGATCATTCCTATTATAGAGCAGCTTAACGTCATCTGCTAAAATCTATTCAGTTATCGAATGATGCCGTAACTCATCATTCTACTATTTTACAAATCGAATCTTTTTAACCTTACCGGGCAGAATGGCACACGCTTGATAAATGCCGGCCTGTAGGTTGACAAGGTAGGTTGTCTTATTTTTCTGCCTCGTCTCCGAGTTTGGATTCTCTGGTTCAGCTTTCTCAACAATTTTTACCTCCACCTACGAGGATGAAATCAACGCTCATTTTTAGCTTGTATGTTTTCGCTACGTGGATGTAAGACTGTCACCTTATATCAATGAATCCTGCGTATTTGACTGCACGCTTCGAGCGTGTTTGTGTTTGTTTGTTCGTTGGAAACTTAAAATAGGCTAGTAATAAAAAGCGTGTTCGTGAGCAGCTTTATCCACAGGTAGGACAAATAGACGATTGGCAACGTAGCGTGACACTTGATGGAATTATTAGATAGGAATTGATTGACATTTATGAAGAATTGGTATAACATATAGGTTTGGTTTGCGGTCGTGTCTTGTAAACTGGATATGCAATTATAGTTAGATTCCTGTGCTATGGCGGACAGCCGTTTATAGTAGCACGTTTGTCAACTAGCCAACAAAAAAGAACGATTAGGCAAACCAGAGAAGACCAAGAGTTACCTGTACGACGTGATCAGACCAGTTTGCAGCGGTAACGGCCAATACGTTCTCCGGCAAAGCTGCCCCGGCTGACATATTAAGGAGACCCTCTCGGTCCAGCAAAAGATACTCCCACTCAGCCGTACCAAATGATATGAGCAGTATAATAGCGGACACTAGAAATTCGAAATAATGCCCAAAAGAAAAAACATATCAAACGGGATATTTATTGTCTTCCAGGCATTGTTCCTCGCTTCCATGGTCACCATCGTCGTTATCATCAATCACAATATTGATTATAATTGCAATTTGGGAGTAGCACACGGCGGTATTGATAAAGAGGACTGTACCTAAAGACTGGATCAGCTTTCTGTGGCTTCATAAATGTACCTTTGAATATTGACGGTATTTATCCCAGAACCCACAGTGGGAGATTCATTAAGATTCCAGCTAGGGTAGAACATTTGGATTGAGAACACATTATGACGTTTCATCATGAAGTTGTAACCAGAAACTATCGAGTGACTCATTGGGCACTGAAAGTTCTCACGAGCAACTTCGCACTCCGGCAAATGTCTCTTTCATGATTAATAACATTGGTTCTGCGCAAAAAACGCGGCTCAGAATTTCGAAACGCAGCACTTGCAAGGCAAGCAAATGAAAAGTATAAGCCTATTGTCTAGCATAAGTGTGGTACAAGCGGGTACGGTTAGGTGCATAAAAAATATAAATTCTAAACATTTTGCTAAATAAAGCCCTAAAGTGACCTTATCGCATATTGATTTCTGTATAGTTCGGGTAGCAGAGAGAATATTTTTGATAGAATAGATTCGTTGCTAATGCTCTAATACTAATTCTTAATTCAATTAGAAGTACCATTGACGGGAGCGAGTACTCAAAGCTAAACGCCATCTTTTTCTTTTGTTTTTATCTTTCATGTTCGGCCTAACCTCATAATCATAATAAATCATAGCCAAAGCTATCTGGTACACAACGAAATTTTCGTTCGATTTGGCCATCTTCTGGCCTATGTAAACAAATCTCCTTTATCATCTATTGTGTTATGTAACTTTTATGTTTTTTTCTGAAAAAGTATTAAACTACCTAGGATAAATTATCCATTTGCATACCGAAGTATTTAAGACTCAGTCATTCAAAATGTTCGTTCAAAACGAATGTTTTGCGCGTCACCAAGTTATTCATCAATTGAAAAGTTAGAACTTCTTTACCGAAGCCAACCTTTGGTTATATTTCATTATTGAGAGCTGTAGCAATTAATGGCGTCGCGGTACGACGGCATGGCAAGAGCTCAATTCTTACCCTCATCTATATATTAAGCATTGATGGTTGAGTGGTAAGGGGATGCGACAGATACAATTCTTGGCAACGCATCGCTGAAGCCTGAGCCATTATTTTGTCACTCAAGAGAGTGATAGCTTTATGTGTCTGATCTTCGCACAATAAAAGGAGCAATGGCTATACAGTCACATCAAAATATGAATCAAGTATTTTGCTTTGTAGAAAAGAAAACACAACAGATATGGTGTATTTCCAACATGTCTGTCGATAGTCGCATAACCAATTGAGGGCAAAAAATCGGAGCACTGCTTTGTGTGTTAACTGACTAAAATTAGATTGTTTGAAGCGTCTATTTCATGCAAACTGTAGAAACGGCAGGATAAAGCTGAAAGCAGGCTGGTCCACATACCTGCAGATGTACACACAGTTTCAATAATTTACCACCGTTTATAGATCGTCTTGAAGTCTACCTCACGGAAGTAAAGTAACGATGAGACGCTTTCATTGAAATCTGATTTTGTGACAAGTGGAAAAAACAAGGACACAAAGCTAGAACTGTGTATGTGACGTATAATTTTTTTTCTACCGGTCACTTTGAGAGAGGTAGTTGCCAAAATCGCTAAAAGGAATAAATGTTTTGCAATCTGCCTTATTCTATCCCTGACGATCGGTTGAAGATCAGTTCCGCTGCAATTTGTTCATAGCGTAATGATCTTCACCGAAAGTAACTTTTACTCAGTCGGCTCTATTCTGTTCGTTGGAAGTAGGAAGATAATTCTTTCTATTGGCATTCATATCTGTGGCAAAGAGGATGCGCTCAAACACGCCAATATTCGACATGTGTACGGGAAGTTAGAACTTCTTCATAGGGTACAAGTAGGATGCGTCTAATTGCATAAAATAAATCGAGATAGGTATCAGAAACGGATTTAAAATTTAGAAAAATTGTTCTTCGTTAACCCTCGGACGTCTGGAACGTCTCACAACTTCATATCCTATAACCTCTTTAGACTCATTCCAGTGCTACGAAGGTGCGCCCATTCGTCTTTCGTAGCCCCAATGAGTAAAGAATAGAGATACGAAAGCAAGCACCGGTAATTGAACTACCACAGAACATAGATCGGTCTATACTAGAGCATTTAGTAACTATCTCTATATGTTGATCTAGTAATCATTTGCTCCCTTTGCTTTGAATAACTCCTTTCTAATCATTAGACTTAGCTCACTATCGTCGGAACATTGCGTCTATGATAAAGATCGCTGGAGCAGCTGCTTGTTATATGGTTATCTACGAGCTGTTCGCTTCTTCTTTGATTTCTTTGACCTTTCTATAACTATAAGGACATTTCATAAAAAATCATCTTCAACATTTTCTAATCTGTGTCACCTTTAACCATGCATGTGGCTCAACGCTTTTGGTATATAATAGTCACGCCAAGCTTTGGAAGGTCTGCTTAATCACCAGTTTTCGTTCAATGTATGTTTATCGACAGATAAGGTCACGGCCTCTACAAAGACAGACGTAACACGGCTAACGAACCCAGCCACGTTGGCGGGCGCGTTCAAACTAGTCCCAGCAAGTACTTAGGTGTTCTAAAGATGGGTGCTGAACTGCGTTCCCTCCATTGCTTATTCAGCCTACTTTTTTTTCTGCGAATCATTAATTCGCAGTTTCAGTGATCGATTGGGCTGCCTGTTACCGAACTGGACGCATTAACGATTTACGAACTTAATATGGCTAATGTTCAATCAGATCGTGTATGTTCTGTCCCATTACAGCCGTCCACTAACCCTAAGCCCTGACAGCTTTAAAAACGTCGATAAGGGTCTTTGATGTACCTAATAATCAATAGAGCACCGTCGCCATTCTTTGAAAAAGTGTCGTTTGTAGTGGAAAGGAGTCTGGCAAGCGCCTTCATAACTCATTGGACAAAAAACGTATCAGTAAACTTTGCATAAATCAGTGCAGCTAATTAAAACGAATGTTTCGAGGTTCGTGTCAGAGACTGCCGTTGGCCATCGCTTCAGACGGCAGGCCCACAGCACGAGATAAAGTGTGCTTATATCCCACTTAAAATTTTCACGTAATTTCATGTTTCGTAGGTAGACAGGCTGCCACGCTGACATCACGAAGACGGACAACTTTTAGAATGTTAATTTTATATATGCATAAACAGTTATATAAAAAAAGTTATATATACAAAGAAAAGTTATAAACATAAAAATGAAATGATGATATTTTTATACATAATTATCTATTACACAGATACCTAATACACTTAACTGAACTTTTTTAAAGGAATACGTTCCACTATGTTTACTTTTATATATATTATAGAATTATGAAAAACGCATTGAAAACAACGCAGTATACTCTAAAAACACAGGCTACGTAACAAAACGTTACACGTCAATCATTTACGTAAACTTCCTCGTCTTCAAGACATCCTAGAGCCTACGTTATGTAAATATTTACAGGCAAAATCACGCCAATATTCCCTGATTTCGGAATAAAAATCACTTAAGAGGAATGCTACCTAATTATTGCCGCATAATCATTTTTCTAATTTTCCAAGAACTCGGAAGAACAGATAGAATAGCAACTAGATTGTTCTGATCCGTTGATAGTGACAGTAATACCCGTTTATTTTTCAAGCTAAACTCCATATTATTGTTAATATGGCCTATAATACTTCTCACGCGTTGCAAAACAGTGCATCTATGATGCTTTCTAGATGTTATTGTGCTGGTACCAACAACTCTCATACCGTAAGAGGTTAATGTAGACATGTATTGCAGTATGCATATGGTTTTTTGATTTGCGCACAAGTCAATAACAACAGCCATGTTGGAGTATTTGTATGAAGCAAGGCTTTGGATGATATTTCGTGATAAAGGTGAGAGAACGAATATCGGCCCTGTGTGGTACCGATGGCTCGACCTATTCGGCAGCTACCAGCATCATACATACACAGCATACGCCAGCTTTTAATAAATTAACAGGCACTCTTGTGGAGCTTCTTTATTCCCTTCCCATACATACATACATAATCTACCCGACGCACAAAAGCTCTTAATGTCATGTAATCCTGCATAAAAAAAATATTTAATAATTTAGATGTTTAGCGTCCAGCTTCATGTGGAGTCAGCTTCCTATCGTTCGAAAGGTAAAGCGTCATCTGACACGTTTCAACTGTTCAAATTAGAAACCTAATGCCTAATATCTGAGGCCAGCCTAAGGACTATTTGAGATCCTCTGTCAAGGCTACTTTGGCGTATTGTTGAATGTCGACTCTGGCAAATGAACTTACGTCGGATGTGAGAAGAAGTAAATATCCCTATTTTACCCTACAAAACATACATTCTCAAGGAATAGCTTTGTTCCTTTCCTTTACATAAATTCCTAGTCATCGTGCTCATTAACTGCATTAACGCATAAACTCATTAACGCCAAAGGACTTCACTCGCGGCATTTTCAAAAATCTTATGGAACGAACAACGCGCAAGTATCTGCACCGTATATAGCGGTTTGAATACCTGGACTGCAATACGTCAAACGGGACATGCGTATATATGAATTAGATTAGTGGAAGTCACATAGCGAAACGGTTTACTCAAGGTAAATAACGTAAGTAACGTCAAGAGTTGGTTCCTTCAAAGCTAAACTAAGGCCAGAATAGCAATAGATATCTATCTATTTTTATTAGACATGCCCTACTATTCGGTGAACTCTTTTGTTGACATATATCTATATATGTATCAACATATATATAGATATATGTCTCGAACCGTAATTACATAACCACTTATGTCATAATGCTAATTTAACTTTATTTAATTTCATTTCGTTCATTAACAGACACGTTCATTCACAAGAATTATGTTTGTGAAGGTTGAGAGCTTCTTTTTTCCTTGCTCGTTTCAAGATTAGAAGATTTCCAAATAGCTCATACTGACAAACTGTTCTCAGATCAGGAAGAGTGTGAGAACATAAATTGCTTGTGCAACAGCATCGTCAGCAGCATTTCACGATGCCAATCATATATATTCAAATGGTCGTATCGCCTCTCAGAGCGAGTAAAGGCACGAAGGTCGCGTCTCATTTAACAAATTCGCTAACGTCAAGAGAGTTTAATTCCCAACTCTTGCAATGTGTATACAACCTCTACCTCGAAAAATTTTCGAAATAAATATTGTTGCTCTTTTCACCATGATTCACACACATCACGTTACAATGGCTTCCGCTAAATTTGCAAGTTCATGGACAAAAACGTTCTCGCCATACGTCCACACACACACACCCATTTACTAGAACGTGAACAGTGACACTAAATATGTAATAGCCCAAACTGCATTAAATATCAGCCCGTCAAAATGTCCTAAAGGGAGAAATATGCTCGAATTCTTCCAATTGTTGGCTTTATGACTAATTCCGTATCGTGAGCTTATTATTAAAATTAGTTATCCACTGTTGTCTAAAATACGCATTGTTATTACCAGCAGCTTCGTAGTAGTAGTAGTAGTGGTAGTGGACACCGAAATAACGTTTTCGTCCCATCGCTTTGCTAGGCCTTTGCCCAATGTTACATTTACACACTTTCAACATTTTGATTTAACGATATTGTAGCCTTAAAGATAAACTCAACTCCGAAAAGAGCCTTTACATAAGAAAAGCACCTAAGGAAAAGGATTCATTTTCAGCTCGTAGAAGTCTCTTCGAAAGGTGACCTTTAGATACCAGTGGGAATCGAAATCATCAAACGAACGTTTGGCACCCACAGAAGCTCCAATAATCAGGCGCATTTAATGGGTATAGTACAGAAACGTCTGATGATACTCTTTTATATTAAAATCATACATAGAAAAATTGCACAGCTATACAAGTATTTTGTTACTACTAAAATATACTGGTTACAACATTATTATAGTTATATCAAATCATATCTATATAGTATTTGCAAATTAAGTACAATACATAAGTGTTTTTCATCGAGTAACGTAACTAAAGTATCCGATATGCCATAATAGAATACGTAGGCTGAGTTACGATCAACGCAAGTAGAGCCCAGCCCGTCCCATTTTGAAAATTTCGTTAGACAACTTTGTATAGTACTATAAGTCATCCTATGTAAAAAATCGTCTTTAAATGGATGCGTACAACAAATTTGCGTAGTAACCCGGACGTAGAAGACAATCAAAGCATTGATAAACTTCAAACTTGCATCGATCAACGTAGGCGTGTGAAAAAATAAGCGATAAGTGCATTGATAATAGCGAAGCTTAGCCATACAGCTTCAGTTTCGGCTTACATATTATTATGGTGGCCGAATTAACTGTCTCCGTGTTAAAAGTAAACAACGCAGATTGTATGATAGCAGAGTCCTCCTGCAAAAATGCGTGGAGCCGTTTTTTTTTCTTTTTGTATAGTACCTAATGTTCAAGTTCGTTTTTAACTCTAGCTCACTCTTTTAGCCTACGTGGCACAAAACTAACCTAGTCGAGAGGTTATAGCTGTCAGTGACAATTGCTTTTCGTTTTCGAACACAGCAAAAATGAATCAAAAAATTCATGAGGACCTTTGAAAACTAATAATGAGACAAAGCAAGTTCCGTTGCTTAAGCAAAAAATCCTCTGTCGAATACCATGTAAAAGAATATTTTTTCTGAAAAAAAAAGAAACTTCTGAAGTGAACCTCTGTTATTGCTATGATCTTGTCGTGTATCGAGCCTAATACGGTTCTTACATTTAGTAATCTTGTTCATGGTTGCAATAATTAAGATCCGCGTAGGTGCCAACTCTACCTGAGTGCGACCCGCTCAAAATGATGGAAAGAATTAAACAAGCACAACGCGGCACCGAAGTTTACGTATGTAATAAGAAAGGTCCTAATAATCAGTATCAGCAGGCTTGTAATATTTTAGAGCTGCAAACAAAGGTCTTTTTGTGGTACTTGCAGGATACTGAAGTACATACCATCGAAATCGGACGACACACCCTATTCTTCTGTACATAAAACGTATTCAATAGATATATATGTGTATAATGCTTATAGGCTTTTTTTTTCAGTCGTTACTCAAGTGTTGTCTCAAGCAGATTCTTATATTTTTAACGCCAGCAAAGAGAAAAATTTCCTAGACGAACTAAGCATATAGTAGTTGAATTCAAATTTTTTCTTAGATCTTGCTGTGTGACAAATTTAACAGCATGAATGATGTCTCGGTTTAGAATGCCCCCTTATCGACCTCCTCAAATGTGGTGAAGAATGCGAGAAAATATTATCTAAATCTCTATATTAAATTCTGGAAATAGGTTAACAAAGAATTTTTTCCAGTGGCTTTTCTAATCTCGATAATAGACATTTCGCAGCCGAACTACATAAATACTTCTGGAACAACAGCTATTTATTTCTACAAAAAATGTTTAGAATTAGTTATCTAATTCACAGGCGTAGCACCTTCTAATAAATACGTGAAGCATCTTTATAGTGAGAACCACGTTTTTAAAAAAGTGTGTGAATTTGGAAAAACAATTATATGAAAATCTACATTTACAGTATTGAAGGCCGACGACCGTTTGTCTACGCGTGTGGTAAAGTTTCAAACAGTAATAGGCGGTGCGTCAGATCAGACGCGGTGGATTAAATACCTTCTTCAAGGAGTAATTTTTTTATTATTATTATATAGCGTAATGCTGGTTAAGAATCAAGAAGAAAAAAGTTAGCTTTTTGGAGATCTACTCGATAACCGCCGACCATTTCTACACACGAAGATTCTTTGCTCTTTGATAGAGATGCACAAAATAGGTAGACAGCTGTGTCTCTCAAAATGTAAATGGTTTTACACTTTTTCGATTGGGAGGTAAAGCATGTCCGTGCCTAAACTGACAATTGGCGATACTCATCTTTATTCAAGCACATATGTTAAATGGACCGGGGGGCACAAGGATGTTTCGGCGCGATTAAGCGAGTTATTTACTAACAGGCTAACTGGGGTAGCTGGATGACGACAGCGCAATAAATCAGCACCCAAGCAAGAGCTTAAGCAAGATACGGTTTCAACAACAGACTAGCATTGCGTGCCAGTTCCGAGCATATATGTATATGGAAATAGGTCATGATCTTTCCGTGATACATGATATATGTTGGCAATTTTGAGGTAGAGGCCACGGATTGACTGAAATGGGCCAATGGGCTAACAGACTGTCCAAGTCAAAGAAGTAGAATCACTATAGAAGATGTAGTACCGGCCTGCTGCACAGAGTTAGGCGCATTGGCCTAACAGGGCATTAAAGGAATACAATAGAGTAACTCAACTATGCTTCTAGAGCTATAGTTTATGTTAAGTCGCATTAGTCTAGTTAAATAATCCCTGCAAAGCAACAAGATCGTCGAAACATTCTAACGAGAAAATGCAGTAACCGTAAATAGGTCGTGGGGTGGACAAAACAGTGTAATTGCAATGGGATAACCCTTAGTTGATAGTTTTTGTCAAATTGTATATAAAAAGTCCAATTAGAATGAACGACGAAGGGCTAGCGGTTTGTCTAGCTTTCCAGTAAATGTTCGTTAGCAGTCAGAGGGAAGGAAAAATTTTCCAAAATATTAGAGAGGATCCAACTGTATCAATTAATCCATGTCCAAAAAAGGATCAAACAAAATCTTGTTGTAATAATTGAATCTATAATAAATGGGCGAAATGATGAAAATACATCGTATATAAACAGTAACGTAAACGGGAGCTTCATCTATGTCCAGTTAACGACTTAATCGCTCCGATTTAGAAAACGCTTCAATGAACGTTGATCAGAAAACTGAATCGGAACTGAGCGGATTGCGAGGAGATCACTGATAACGATGAATTGATATATTCTATTACAAGTGTGACCATGAAGACTTTTGGACAAGGTGTAAAGATGATACCTTCTATATACATATTATTCTGTCGTTTATAATACATCTATACATTATAAAGGAAAAAAAACTGATAAGCTTACCGAAACTAATGATTATTGTCAGTAAGCCGATATATGCAGCAGTTGCGAGCGTTCGATTTGAAGCTTTGGTTCCAGTTGAATTTGTGGAATCTAAGTGCGCTTCAAATTGCTCCACCGTAGCAATGGATGAAGTTCGCCTGTTGAAACGCTCTCGGTCAAACATGTCCGTATGGTTTAAAGCTAGGTCAGAACTTCTTCTCGAGCCTTGCATTCCCATTCCGTGATCTATATGATTGTCTTCGCGCTGGTTATAAGTAGTCCCAATACTGAGATGATGCAGTTGTTGTCGCACGCGATCATCGCACAACATCATTGTGATACCTGGAAGGTTAATAGTAGTTCCTCTTAATACGGTTACCGCCTGCGCACAGCTTTCAGAAAAGGTCTTCCCACAGTTTGTCACGTGAGCTTCCAGCATCAGTTTTTGACATATATTCGTATTGTTGTAAGCAAAAGCAAGCACACACATAGAGAAACTAATGTGTGACTGGCCGACAAGTGCACGCGAAGATACAGGGCAATTTATAAGCGATGAGGTAAAGTCGAATCGTCCATGAACATTTCAATCTTTTGTGATTGTTGTGACCGTGTCAGCGATTTAACTCGGCCTTCGTATGTATTTTTCGTTGGCAGATTTCCCGACCGGAGGTCAACAACGGTATTGAAAGTCCACTTTTCATCTAATGTATAGTGAGTTGAAGATGCTTTACGTGGAATGCGATGGCGTAGCGTGTGAAAGTTTTGTAGAACGTTTGTATTTGCGCCGTGTTTAATTTAGGCGAGCATAGTTTATATGTGGGCTGCACTTTGTGACAGTTGCTGAGTGACCTTTTCGTTAGCTTGCTGACTTCATACAGCGTTTGTGTCACGTATTCCCTTCAACAGAACTTCAACAGGAGGAATGAGCGCCTTGTGAACTGCTGTCGGTGTTACGGTATTCCCGCTCAACAGTGTTGTTCACTCGTTGGTTTATGTCAATTTATCTCGTAAAGTAGAATTTTTCATTTCAGTGTTCAGCTCAGCTGCATGGAGTTCCAGAACTCTACACGATGATGTGTTTCCTCAACGAGCTGTGGTATAAATGTCAATTTCATTATTTTTTCCTCGAAAGTAGCATTTCGAAACACCGTTGTACCCTTAGCTACCATATAACCAAGCGTACATTGGCTTATCGGAGAACGGCGAGTGATTTATATGGCACTATACAAGGGCAAATTAATAGCGTGTACCATAATAAATCTAGTAATATGCTATTATGACACCAGATGAGAAACGGCCTCGGTGGTTTTGCGCGACGACTGTAAATCTGAGTGGCGACCCTCCGAAACCACGAGGTTGAAAACAGGATATCGGCCAGCCTCGCTGCGTCTACCGTACGTCGCGAATATGACATACAGGCTTCCTTTGGCTGCTTAATGACGCTGGTACTGATTCTGCTGTCATTAGTAGTATCGTCCATCACCGTATCTACTATAAGAGCACGCGAAAAAGAACTGCCATCTCGAGCAGAACTTCAAACCACTGCACATCAGTCTATCGCTGATTAACATCTCTAAAACACCTGCTTGGGCGCGTAATCTAGATTTATACAGTGTAGTGCTAGCAGATGGGAGATCAGCTATGTACAAATGGCACAGCAGCAGCAGCAGCACTGGTCGTCGCCCTAGTATACACTTCGCAGGTTTCGCTATATGTGCTCACTTCACCTGGGGTGGTGTTTCTGGGACCCTGGATCCACCTACCCTTTCCACAAGTGCGATTTGCCACTATTCCGAACTTGAGAATACCTATGTAGAGAGCGAGGGTTGCTGTGCCTGTAGTACTCGAATCGCATCACGCAAAAGTTTCGCAGTGTTCCCAAGCGCCCCAAAGATTTCGAAATTGAGCGATGTAAATTTGCTCAAACGAACTCTCGTTTAAATCATCTTCTTCCAATTCAAAAAAGTACATCCTAATGTTCGTCATTATCTTTAATCGGTAGCATGATAATAACAGCCAGGAGTCAACAATTCACTCCTCCCGATAACGAACTCTACGCCGTACGCCCGTTGGCCATTTGTTGAGCTGCATGCCTGAGCTTAGCAATTAACAGCACTTCTCGAATGAAATGTTATGTATCAAATGTTAAATTTACATAGGCAAGAGATTCTACAAGTCGCTCAATCCTAGACGTCCCTTTACCTATGCTTCATATAGTAAACCCACTCCAATACAGTTAAGTGTATGCTCAAAACAGAAACATGCGAAGCGTCAACTACTTCGTGAACTGTTCTGGGATAGTAATTCTGCTGGGTAGCTAGAACGAAACAGGTCTACTTGTACCTAGTGGAGCAAGCGTTACCAAAGTACTCTTTCTGTCTCTGTACATGTATTTGGTAGACTGGACTCGAGGCCATGGCGAAGCCTATGTCGAGGGTCAGATCGTGAGTGGAACTTCATGGTGCTGACACAAAGCTACGTCAATCGATGGGTGAGGGTCACAAAGGTGAGGACATTGAGGGAAGACAGTGGCCATCGAGGACGGCTCTCGGAGCCAGTCCCGTTGTTCCACGGTAGTAGCCCCTAAAACTACCGAAATATGGTACTCACTGCGAAGTGAAAGTAGCCTTGCATGTTGTTTCTTGATATCAGAGGATTGTTGGACACGATAGAAGTACACTGGATACCCATAATGCCGAAAATGCCCCAAACTCATCCCATAGCTAATTTGGGGCTAACACAACTCACGATAAACGTAATCAGCTACCTAAGCCCCTATCAAAACTGGCTAAAGAACAACGAAAAACTTGTTTTACCTGATTTTACCATGCACTTAGTAATGTACGGCAGATACACTACACTGTGTATCCTTTGCACATTACTAGTCCCCGGTGAGTTACAATCGAAGCATAATAATACTGCCATTGGAGGCCGGCATATGATAGAATCCAGCTATATGAACACTACTTGATATATTCTTCAATGATGAAGTACATCAAATAGCGATCGCACACACCGTTATACTTGTCCCTTTCAAGCTATGGCATCCGACCTCCTACGATAAGTTTCGACTTTCGAGGGCACTTTGAAATGGAAATTCTCGAAAACAACGAAGATCTTCGGATCAACAAAATTAGCTTAGTTTGAAGAACGCGAAAAAACGGAGGAGAAAAACACAAAACACAAAGTAGAATTAGGGCCTGCCCTGGTACCACGAGCGGCGGGGCAGGCTTAATTTGCCCACGTGGCGTCAAGCATTGGTTAGGTGAAGATTTCAAGACAAAACGGGTACGATCCCAATCAGCTTATCGAATCCTCGTTGGCGACGGCTAACTGATGCTCGTTAATAGTGATCATAACAGTGGCATAGTCGGCTGGATGAACGGTTTTAAACAGGAGCTTCACGATGTCCTGAGCGCCTGTTTGACACAGCATTCGAAGCATGAGGCGGCCATAGGCTTTTTCTACGTACATTTTTATTTCGAGATGGCTCGACGCCAGCTGTCAATGGACTGGATACATAATCCACTATGCGAGGGTCAACGAGATCAATCCGAATGTGTGCTCACAAAAAACTTTTCAAAATGGTACGCGAGATATGGCTTACTCGATATGCCGGAGCAGATTTTCAAAGATTTCATAAACGAAATCACCGTTGAACTGACTCACGCCACTTATATGGAAGAGAGCGTCCACTTCGAGGGCTGTTGTCCAGAGTTGCACTTCACTTTACGGCCGTCGGGAGAACGAATCGTTCTTAGACAACATATACCGCGTACATTCACGATTCATGATCAATCAAATGATATCCTTAATTATGGCGCATCTGATCTACTAATTAAGCCCCCCTTTGATTTTCGTGATCGGACAGCGTCCACGAATAATATATTGACAGTAGCAGTTAAACGGCAGTCCTCATGCGGCCGGCTGAGTGTGGCTGTTGTGGGTTATGCTATATCTAAAAACGTTGAAGAAAAGGAAAACTTTACTAATGGAGATATCGGCAAATGGGTGGTCTACATTCAATTCAGTTGGCCGGGCCCTAGACAGCGGTTCTATGCGTTCAGCCGATGGCACAATCCACACGTGAGCGAATTTGATGATCTGCAATGGAAAGCCAACCAAATTAGGTACATAAATTGTACGTAGCTTGTTGATCGATGGCGTACCGGACGATCTCGTTAGATCGCGTAAAGAGATCGATTCGCAAATCAATTCGAATAGCTGACATATATATATATGTCAGCTAATTTCTAAAAGATTCTTAAATATATATATATATATATATATATATATATATATATTTAAGAATCTTTTAGAAATTCTCTACTGTGTTAAATCCATGGTGATTTTCAGTGACTAGCAAGAAGTGGGTATAAAAAAAATGGAGGCCGGTGACGGCAAGTAAACAACCACTCGGCTTGAGCTGAGGTACTAATGAGTAATAATCTAGACGCTCATTGTTTTACATTTTGAAGCAGGGACTTCGCATAGTAGAAGGCAGTAGGCCAATAAATTCATGTAAATAAGGTCTCAAGTAAATGTCTTCATTCTAGACTTCGGTCGATTCAGTGGCTCCACAGGCGTACATTGTAAACAACGGTTACCTTGCGGCATTTCCAAAAAAAATATCCGACTGAAAGTTTTCAAGGATGAACAGCGTTGTGGCGTGTTGCGTTTCCTTTTGTTTGAAATGATCGTTAAGTGTTCTCCGTTTGTTACATGCCGTCGGCATTGTTTTTGAAAATAGCTGCGGGAAGTGTTTCGAAAATGTCCTCCATCAGACAAAGGTTAGGTTGTAACCCAGCAAAATACATATGAGCGAAGGCTCGCATATAGCAAAGCCTATTGAATGGCCAATGGAGAATCAGCTATGAAAACAGTTAAAATACATATGACCCAAGAAAATTTTTTGTAGCTATAGGTATGCTAATAATGCTATTTAGTGCAAAGGAGTAGTCTGTTTTAGCATGTCCGTCCTTTCTTGGCACCTGACACCGCACAGAGTGCAGGTATAATTACATAAACTAAAAAACCAACACTATTGTTTTATATATATATATATATATATATATATATATATATATATATATATATATATATATACTATGTCAATAAATATCTTTTATAATATGACTTTTAAAATGACTTTTTTCCTTATTTATTCAGATACTTCAATACAGAACCTAGTAGAACAAGCTTATTACTAAGTAGCTCAAACAAAGTCCTTGTGTTCGTGTTTTGAATTAGGAGTTGCCATTATTCATTATATTAGACCGTTGACCACCAGCACGTAACTAATCGTTCCTCTAAAATTCACGTCACATGAGCCCTTAACGCTCACAGGTAGGCAGACACACGGCCACTGAAGCATCACCTGACGTTCATAATTTTTGACGTTCTGTGTTATTGGGTGAGGGCCATTTTTCTAGCAGGCCACGGGCATAGTAGTGATACGATACGCAGAGAAGAAGTTTTCCCACGTTTTTTCCACGGGACTCGATCCGGCAGGCTGGCGCTAGCCAGCGTTAACCTAAGCGTTACGCTTCTCGCCAACAATGCATATGTTTGTTTACCTAGAGGCCTCCATTCGAAATCGCCATGCGTGCCATGCGCACCTTGTGCGTGTCTTATAAAATACAGGCACAAAGGCCGACATGCAGTTCGTCCGATGCACAGAAACGAGTTGGAGAAAGTCTAAAACAAATATTGTACTCTAAACATTATTAAATACTATATGTATATAAGGGAACTAATACAACAAAACCACAGTTTTGTTTCTCCTGATTTCAACATAAGGACTAAATAAAATGTAAGAAACCAAAAAAACACCTGACATTATTCAGTATAACCTTAACAAACGCACATACGAAGACTAAGTGGTAGACGTGAAACAATATTCAGCAACATGTTTTACGAGTCTCTTCCGAAGCGGCTCAGATACGAAGACTCAGTAATCACCGCAAACCTATATAACTTACATATTTTTTGGTTTTAATAGGGTGCCCCATAACGGGGCCACAAAAATTACCTTCACGGCTCATTGTGAGTGCCCCCCAGCACGGATGCGTTTAGTAAAAGGCGAAACGCATATTCGTGTCTGCTAGGAGGCCTGAGCTATACTCACAGTAGTTGCAGCAGGGACCAATAGCGGTTTGGGTATCGGGACAGGCTGGGTTACAAGATGATATCAAGAGCAAGGTATTCGATTTGAAAAAACGGATATTGGCTTGCATATTTTAAGGCCTAATGAAATAAGGGCAAAAATAAGTTCTATAACTCCGTAAATGAATTTATTTTAACGTAGTAGTGATAATATAACAAAATTTAGAAGAAATTAATAGTAAGAGCAGACGATCCTCGCTCGAAAAATAACGGAAATTCTGGCGCAATTTGACCGTGTCAAGACTGCTGACCTATGATTTTGGAACTTTTCAATCAAAGCAGATCGAAAAACGATAACGCGACATGGTTTTAAAACTGTTATTTAATTTTACTCGATGTAGGCATTTATGAGCTGAACAAAACAATAAATAGCCGTAAGGTGTAAAGCACATTTCTTTGATCTGGCCTTCCCTCTGCAAGAAAACGGTTTGTGTTTGCGCATGAACTCAATATATCTCTATACAGCACCTGCTATATATTACTGATCTATAAACAAATGACAAATCTATTGATGAGCGTCAATCATAACCCGCAAATAAACGCTGTGTGACATGTACAACTTACGCGCGATCTATAGCAATGAAGAATTGTTTTTTTTTTTTAAAAATGTTTACAATATTAAAGCTTCCAGTGGCCATCATTGATGTTACAGTATGGGATGAAGAAGAAAATGCAAATCTGAACATTTTATGCTATTGGAAAGCCCTCGACGGAGTCGCTGATTTCGCCCCGCACCTGTTTTGTTGCTGATTTAACTAATTTCACATCCAACCTCACGTAAACTACAAATGAACAGCTAACTTTTTATGTCTTTTTCCGTAAATTCATCAGCCTGCTTTAGTATACTCAGCAGAAGTTTTAGACAACTTTAAGTTGATCTTTCATGATATGTTGAACTTTGCTGCCTTCCTACAAGGTCATTGTGGGATTTTTTCAGTGTTAGTTAATCGACTCCGTTCCTGAGACTCCGTTCCAGTAATTCCAGATAGTTGTCGTTTGTCCTCTCAGGACCGTAGGTAAATCGAATGGCTTTTCGCTAACTCCATGGTACTATGATTAACAGAAGCCTTCAGATTTGTGAGCGTTTTTTTTTTACGTAAGAGATATTTACATTCTATATTACAGAAAGATTAATCCCGCCTTAGCAAGGCGTAAATATTTGTTTATTTTATCTATTTTTCTGATTTATAGTTGCACATAATAGACTAAATGAAGATATGAGGAGCATTCATGAGGATTTTGTATACTTTCGTTGGTGCATTGCCTCTTTTATTGGGACGTCACCAAGGCCTATATTTTAAGAAATATTTTTTTTTTTTTATTAATAAGTGGTGACATTTTTTGCATTAAAGAAGTAATCAGATGATATCTCTCGGTTGGTATACTGATTTCGTTTCTAGACCTTACGAAAGCTTAAATTACTTTTTATCGTTCTTAGATTTGTTTTGCAATGATTACTTACATATTTTTACTGTATTGTTGCATAAGCAAACAAATACGATGCTATATTGGATTTACGCTGAATACCGTATGCTCACAATATTAGGACGACCCGGTTTTGAGCACCATACCCCAGGCTTCACCCCACAACTGCTCTGCTATTTCACTAAATTTATCTCACTTTCTTAAAAGGCTCATTATTTTCATGATAAAGACAACCCTTCGTATAGAAGCCAGCTACTCCCTAGCTAAAATCTAATAGTTTCTTCCATAATAGGGTTTAAGCGCAATTTTTTTTGTCTAATACACGTTGCACACACTTATTCATAGAACACAAACTGAGCGCATTTGTTCAAGCAATATATTTTTTTTATTTTTTCACAGAAACGTATATTTGTGTATTAGGTTATATATAAGTGCGGGCGATGCTGGTGGCCGCCTTTGTGCTTATAACAGGCAGTAGGTCGTCATTTTCAAACGTGGAAGATCCAAAAGAGGCTGCGGCCGGCGGTTTACGATCAACCAAATTAACATTGAGTTCTATGAGAAAAACGAACCTATCCTTCTAAAAACAAAAGTACTTTCATCTTCAATGCGAATTTTTCCAGAGTTAGAGCACAAAAAAATATGCCCAATCCGAATATTTCAACAGGTCATTTTAGGTCCGACAAGCAGACAGGCACGGCCTTTTTGCTGCAGAAGTAGATGACTCTTTTTCACGCTAAATTGATCACGTTAATTATAAAATACTAATATGTAAAATAATGACGCTAATTGAAAGGTAACCTGATATACTTTTAGAACTGTTTAAATATATCTAATGGCTGAATAGTGTTTTTGTTGACGTGTGAGTCTCAAGCGATGGCAATCCTGACACAGCGCAGCAGTCGTTGATTTGGGTCAGAGGCATTACTAGAAAGGATTCTACAATCAGTAGCATTCTGAAGATAATTTCCTTTTCATTCAGGTAACAGGAAGTTATTCTTCAGAAGAGCAAAGAAGGCAAAATATTGGATTCCTTGTGCATCGTATCGCAAGCTATTTATTTCCTTGTTCTGTGCCAAAGATGTTGTAAATATTTGATAGCATATTAAACTTGTTCTATTACAAATGTATTTATTTAAGCGCAAGATGTCTTTATGGGTATACAATAGGACTTCTTTTTCTATATTAGTGATAATATCTCTAAAGCCTAGCTCGTGTCAAGTCTACTTGCTGTGTTTCGTAATTTCGAACCGTTCAGCGACCCAAACAAATAAATATACGTAACAAAAGTAAAGACATGGGCTGCATAGGGCTATTCATTTTGCAAAAAAACAATGCCACGTTAACAAACTGGAAGTAGCTATTCTGCGCGTATAATTTGTTTCCAAGGGGGGTTAATATAATGGAAAGTAAATATCCAATTATGTTGTTAGGCTAGACGAAACCGATATGACAAAACAACACCTATTTTACATATCTAAAGTGGCTAAATACAGAAGAAGCATTGGCGATTTTCTAAAAGGATCCAATGAATTTCATAATGGGAATAAAGCCCAGACGTAATCCGTAATGAAATTGTTAAGAAGACCTCTAACTAGCTCTCTGCTCATCCGGCTGGCGACTGCGATAGTTGTAGTATTTTTGTAAAAGTGGTTTGTTGTTTGTATCGTGACGATGATCGCTAAGAAAGCTGCAGCATTCGAGAAGCTACTACAGTAGTTTCATGCGGAGAAATTAGAGTATATCAGCCAGGTAATTAAAATACATTTATTCATTTTTACTTGACCTATCATGAGGTCACCCAGAAAGTAAAAAAAAAAAAAAACGTTTCTTTTCATCATTATATAGCCTCTTTACAACTTATGAATCAAGTCATGTATGGAAATAAACATCAGATATTATTGTTACATATCTATTAGATATATCAGGCTATTACAAGCAAATACAGCGAACCTTGAAATTAACCTTAAAACTACGCGCCGCTAGCAGACGAAACTGGACTAGCAAGTACTCCAGTCTTTTAAAAACGTTTTTTAGTTTTGAAAGTAAATTCTCCATGATTGGATTTTCGTTTCCCGAAGGCCACAGCGTTATTATAATTCAGTAAAAATTGGGGCAAAAAACTTAGATTGAAATGTTGAAAGCCGGCGAGGAGCTGACCTGATTCGGCCCCCGGAGAACAAGAATGCATTGCCTCAGTCGGAGAGGTTTTTCACGAAAGCATAGCTTGAAGCCTAAAGGCTATGTTTACTAAAACTCGCATTTCACATCTAACAAATAATTGAATATTAACCCAAACACTGAAAATGCGAAAAGGAAGTAAAAAATTGTTATTTCGTGAATTGACTCCAGCTTAACTGGAATTAAGTGTGGTGTATTCCTCGTTCAATAGAAAACCCGCCTGGGGCATACGGTCGCCATAGACGAGATCTGGTTTAAGCTAAACCACTAGCTGAAAAAAGATCAGCCAACATTAAGTGATATGAGGCGCAATACTGGCAACGGGCATGAGGCATCTGCTACGACGAGATACTCGCCAAAAATAAAACAATTGCACCCCGCTATCTCAAGTTCCTCACGAGACACGAAAGCACATAATTTAATGACAACACAAAATCTTACCGCTGTGCTCCAGTAGCCACTAAATTGGGCATATGGAATATCGAACGCTGGCTACAACCTAGGACTTGTAGACTAAAAAAAACAGCTAGTGGGCAAGCACACCTCAATCGATTTATTTCGAGAAGCCGTAGATAAAAACATTTTAAGTGGAACCGCGAATGGTAGGCAGATAGCTTTTCGGAGAGGACAGTTGTGTAAAAAATGGAAAACAGTACCTCTAACACATATGAAAAAATCATAACTTTAGCCTAACGAGTTCGAAAGTTATTCAGTAATAAAGCCCGCAATATTCACAGCCTCATTTTTTTAAAATTTGCCTTTTATTTAATCATGTCGTATAATGTATATCATAAATATTTAGTAGTGTATTTTAATCCAGCATTGCATAACTTACCTTAGCCCTGGAATAAATTTTGAAAGGCTTTTCAGTTCTACGAGATACCACATTATTGAGTCCTACCCCAAAAAAGCGAACCCACCATGAAGAGAAATACGTTCTATATGCGAAGACCATGTCTTTACATCTATGTTCACCCGGTGTTAACTATTTTGACAGAAGAAAATTCTTCGTGTCATAACGTTTGTAGCACACCAGACATCCGCAAATTTTCATTGCTTTTGGTTGTCTGGCAATGCCGACGAGAAAGACAACTTTGGGCTCTTTCTGTTGGACGGTCTCGTTTATTTGACTCAAATGGGCCGTATAAATATCTTTATTGATCGTCTCATCTTTTTGGAGCATTTTTTAGTTCTATCAAAAAAATTGGTCTTCTTGAATCTTCCTAGTTGGAAATCTGGGCTTAGGCGTATCTCCCGGAGCTCAATACTGTCGTTGAACATCATATCTCATCGCCCACAATAATTCTATACACTCGTTGTTGATGCTAAGTGTTGCCCATTGCCGGGCTAAATTTTAAAGTATAATGAGAAACCGTTGTTGCCTTTGTTTCTCATGAATTTTATGGAGCATTTAGTCTTTTCACATTTGTCTAAATATCATCGCGGGAGGATGGCTGATGGTAGTCACGTGACCGCAGTTTATCGTCGATCGATCCACGAACTGTGTTTTGGGCATTTTCTTCAACAATTTCAAATGACCGACCAAAATGAGGTGCTTCATCCAGATCCAAGGTGCATTCATTCAACTTAACAAACCACCAATAAGCGGACCCCTTATACGTAGAGCTTACACTATCACACGGCACAACTATTTGGGTTCTTCACCAGGGGGCGCTCATCTAAGGGTCCGAACTCGGATAATATCCATTCTCTACACAATAGGCTACAACACACTTTACAACGGTATATAGGAATAAAGGAATAGTCCGACCAAGCTATTAACTTCAACTAAACTTCAAAGTTACAGTTATAATATCTAAGCACTTGAGAGTCACAGCTGGTATTCCTCCCTTTGCACTAAGATCAACGAGATGCAATGCTGCATCAAATGTATCTAGTCCTGCTGTGATCTGTTTCGATGCTTTTCATTTACCTATAGGTGCTACTAGAACAGATCTTCTTTCGAAACAACTTAACGGGTTATTGTAGCTCTTATAGTTGTAAGGTTTTATAATATAAAGCGTAAGACAGTGATTTTTGTTTCTTTAACCTGTAGATCTAATATAGAGAGCAAAATAATTATAGTTGTATAAAAACGTATTTATTTCACAGTACATTGTACATGAACACTGTAAAAATAGTAGAAACTGACATACCCTCATACTCTATACGCGAAATTATGTACGCTATTTGTGTATATGGCAATACCTCAGGGATACATATATTGATTTAGTTGAATGCCCTATCCCTTAAGTATATCTTATTGTGTTGCTATTGTTGAACCTGCGTAAGTGAAACAACATCTTAAGTCTCCTTTATGATGTGGCGATTACATCTGTAACTATACTTTTGACTATTTTTTCCATCACTACTTATCTTTTGTATCCCGGAAATTTTTATTGATAATTCTTCAATATGTATCTATGGAACTAATACCATTCTACAATTTTCAGCTTCTTACAGAACCCTTGAGTTCTATGTTATTGTTCCCTTCCACCTCATAGCATGTTTTGCTTTGTCTGCCTAGCAAACCATTCGAAGGCAGCCATCGACGCGGATAATTTCCCCATTCATAAGCGGATTTTCAATGATCGTTTGAACTATGTGAGCCAGCTCATCGGGATCTCCCAAACGCTTCGGGAACGGGATTGTCTCAGCTAAGAAGTTCTTCACCTACATGGAAGCACGCAGAAAAAATTATATGTTTTATTTGAATGTACATTATCGTGATGGTTGCCGCCGGAATTATTAGAAAGCGTCAAATAAGACATCTTAGCCTTTTACAGTTAAAGAAACGACCACAACAAATATAAATAATTGTACACTTTTTGAACTATTACTAAGTAGTAACCTCAGTCTCCTTCAGATGATAACAACAACTACTAGCCTTCGTATAGTTCATTGCTTAGCCGATGGCCAGTTTGCCCGTCTTTAACATGTTTTTGTGCAGAGTTCAAACATATCAATATAGTGACCTGAGAAATAAACCAACAGGCACATTAATCGAGAATTAGCATATTACTATACCTTATCTGGGAGGTTGTTTAAAAGGGGTGTGTTAAACAAACCCGGAGCTACGGTACACACGCGGATACCCTGGAAAGACGAGAGTTAACTACATGAATGATTTCTGTTATTTTGCGATCAATCAATAAGTCCTTCGGTTGAAATAACGTTTGCCATACAAAGCAAGTAGAATAACATTCAATTTTTTCAAATTGTATTATTATTATCATTATTATGTTTATTAATAACGAAATTTTAAAAAACGTTGAGCTTCGGAGCATTGGATACGTCGTCTCTATTGTCGATCCTAGTATCGGACCTCTGGGCCTTCGGATGGATAATAGCCAGACGAATTAATACAAACACCTCTATAATCTATCAGCCATGCCCTTAGTAACAGTCCTAATATAACAGTCACTAATATTCACGGTAGATTTAAACACGATGAGCTTGAAAAAAGAGAAAATTATTTTTACTAATATTTACCACTACTAAATATTTACCAATTGCGTTGGTAAATGCAAATTTACCGTATTAGGAATGGACTGAATGGAATGCCGGACAGGAAACTTTTGCATGGGTGCGATAGCTTAAGTTCTCAATGTCAGTCCGAGATGTAACCACGTTTAACTTGGGCAAATATTAGCACACGCTTTACCCGCAATACATTCGAAGCTGATCCCCATCGTGCTATAGGCACTATTGTTTATTGCGAATCGGCAGGCTTTCACCTTAACAAAAATAAATTTTATGCACAGAACGCCCGGCGTGCAGTTTACTCTACAAAACATTTATCTCATACCTGATTGCACAGATCTCTCGCCATTGGTACTGTCATTCCGACGATGGCACCCTTCGATGCGGAATACGCCACCTACCGCCAAAACAAATAAAGAATATTCCTCTATTTCCGTTTTTTGAATAGCGAAATAGTGATGCAACAATAATTCAGTCAATTTACATATAGATAGATGTACGTCGTGCTTATTATAGGATTTCTACGACCACAGAACGCCTGACATATTTATACGTCCATGAATGAACTTTGTGCTAAAGCTTTGTGTCTGTTTATCCGAGCCAAACGGTACTCAAATCAGCTTGATCATTGAGCACCATCGGGAGTGGACCTGCGCGTAAAATGACGCTAACTGGATTAATACGTCCTTCCGGGCGCAGTTTCTTCTATAGAATTTGCTTTTGTTTGGTGATTGTTTGCCGAATTTTCTGACTCTTGTCAAGTCGTAAAGATTGAGCTGAGCGCCTTCCTAGTGGGGTTTTTTCTTGAACATTTTTTTACTGACAAAATGGCAATCGAATGTTTACATGGGAGTCTATGTAAGAGGGTCGTTTTCGATATCAACGGAGAGCTCTTGCCGGGCTAACTCGAGATGTAATGCATTTTTCTATCTTTATATATCATCATCCCTTAGTTTTGACAGCGTCTCAGAGACAGACTTCATGCGCCAAACAAAACGTCTGATCCCATTCACGTGCGTTCCGAAAACAAAGCCACTCACCCAATACTCGAAAAGTTACGTAATTATGTTGCAAAAATCTAGCGAAAACCAACGTATCACGAAAAAGACAAATCCAAAGTTGACTAAGCTAAATCAGAACTCGTTGATGAAACACTTAAAAAAGGGTAAACGGTTAGGTAGAGACGCATAACTGCAACGAAATAGTAATTGTCCATGTCTATTTCGATGTAACATCAACAAATCAGATAAAACACTGGCAAAACTGTCCGTTATACAGCTAGAAATCAAGTTCGTTGGATTTGTTAAATTCAAACGATCCTTTAGAGTGCACGGGTTGAGCTGACTCTTTGTAGGTCGCTAGATTTCTATCCTGGGAAAAGCTTTACGGATTATCAACAAACGCTTTCGCTCCTAAAGGATTAAATTTTTATATTTCATAGAGTGTATTAATATTAATTCGGTTGATCGTAGACGGTGGCCAGCAATTTCTTCCCATTTTGCACATTTGAAAGTAACACGACATTACCTCTAAAACAAAGCAACACCAAACACCGGACGGCGATCAGCACCCTTCGCGCCAATATATTATGTATAATTTTGTGAAAATTATGTTTCGTGAATAAGTGTGCTTATCGTATGTTGCACAAAAAACACTATTGCAAAAGAGCGACTAGGTTACAGCTATTAGTTTCTTAGCGGTGTCGTCTCGATTATAAATATAATTAGTTTTTTACTTCTGCACAGGTAAGATATAATACGTTTAATAGCAAAACAAACGCAGAACCTTAAAATCTTTATATTAATAGGTGCGCAGGATAAAGTACTCAAAGTATAATACGTTTGCTCTCCGTCTTCTCTAATCATATCATGCATATGTCGGACAGAGCAGGTAGTCTGGCTAGAGCTCTAAGTGACGAAAATCTACAACCGAATGCGAAATTAAAGCATACTAGAATAGTACGGGGCCTACCTGTCCAATTTGGCCTTCGAAGGCAGCAATTGATGCGGTGTTAACAATCACGCCTCGTTGACCATCTGCATCTGGGATGTTTTTGCCCATCAGGCCGACAGCTAAACGACAAACGTTGAAAGTACCGACGGTATTCACTTCGACTACCTGCAACTCGTCAAAACAAATAACACTCATCATGTAATCAATTCATTTTATTCTATATGTTTTGCACATGAGTACGAAGTGTTTAATAAAAAAAAAAGAATATCAAAGGATTTTCCTTTTACCTATTCGGCTAGGGCTCTGTTAGAGATAACCTTTGGATTCGCGTTTACGTTCAGTCAACTCAATTGTCCGAACTATAAGCATCCCACCTTCACGAACCCTCGCCGGCTGTTAGAGGACACAAACTCGCGCAGACCGGTGTTTGTTTAGGTATCATCGAGACTTCACACAAAGGCATAATTAGGTCGGATTCCGATTATAAAAATCGAGCCAACTAACCCGCTTGAAATCGGAGAGATCATGGGCCAGGTCTTTATTGAAGTTGTAGATCTTGAAGGCTACACCTACACCGGCGCAGTTGACTGTTGCATCGAGTTTGCTAAATTTACTTTTCACCTGTTCCAGAGCGGCCTTAACATCTTCTTCCGAGACCACCTGAGAAGAGTAGATGACACAGACGCTCCAAAGAGTAAACAAGGGTCCATTTGAATACGCATAGAAATCTACTTTGAATACATTCATATGGAATAGATGTTACTTTTTTTTCTCTTGTGTAAAACTTGTACTTGTATAAAACAGAAAGTTTGTTTCGGGTGGCAAACAATATCACCACACTGACGTCGATAATACTAACGATTCTAGAAGTAAACCAACATGATAGCCTTGTTGAATTGAGTATCGTTATTTTCACGTGGCGTCCATGTTGGATTGTAAGATTTACATACACTTCCAGGCGTAAAGATGCAGCTTGCTGGGCCGAGTTCTTTGGCTACGTCGTCTCCTTTCGAAGTTGGCAGATCAAAAATAGCCACTTTAGCTCCATTTCGAACGAGACGGGCAGCCGTTGCTCTGCCTAGACCTGACGCTCCACCGGTGATTAATGCAACAAGGCCCTACGAACATACAAATCCATTGAGAATAAAACAATTAAACTATCAATAAGAATTACTTGCTTCCGACTTGAATAACTTATGACAAGCGTTTATCTAAAAATGTGTTATTCTAATATGTATAGCCGTACCTTTGTTTTCAAAGCTCCAAACATTTATAACGCTGTATATATAAACATAGTTATTTGACATCTGTAAGACATACTTAGCTTCCTTCGTAAAATAGAACTTCTCGTTTGTACTGCTACATTGGCAGTCCATGATCGCTATCAAATACAGTAAACAATTTTGCTTATCCTCACTAACAATGTGAACAAGGCTTAAACCTAATTAAGCAGAAATCAACTTGTTGGTGAAGGCGTTCAAATAAAAAACTTTGGAACGGGCATAATTCACACGTCCGATGCATACTCCTACATCAAAATTGACTATCAGAAGAACTTAAGTCATTGCCCCCTCTGTTCTATATTATAGGAGGCAAAAAAAATGCAAAAATGAAAAACAGATCATTATTTCCGCGTTAAATATGAAACTATTGACACAGTACATCGTGAGCCCAAGCGTATGTGAAGCTCAATTATCTATCGGGAGGTACATCACACCCTGTAGGACTTCTCATTGTGTTTTTTTCGGTCAGGTGCTTCGTGTTGTTCTCATGATTGGTAATTCTGCGAGGGCATTCTCACTTCAACCTTTTGCCTTCTCTAATCTTGCAGGTCTGATCCCTCTTACACGTACTGCTAACTTGTTGCTATGTTAATGCACCCGTCAAGTCTTCCACCTTCGTGTCTTCTATCGTGAAGCGTTCCCGACTTCTCATCGTATATCGACAAACGCGAGTGGACATCTGTGTAGACTGATTAAATGACACTGATGGCTAACGCCTAGACTACGCATCCTCTCGTTGCCTTTCAGCTAGCTGTGACTTTGCCGAGAACTGTTTTAGTCTCTTAACACGTAGCAGAATCCTGCTAGTATTAAGCTTACTCCAAGCACAATTTTCTCTATACATGATAGGGTCTACAGCACTATACCACGAACAGCAAACAAGTGAGTCTAACCTATGATACCCTCTTGTTTTAGACAAACTAACTGAGTTAGTGTGCATTTACTTCGAGCTAAGCCTGACTCATCGGACTAATTATAATATATTCTAGTCAACTAAACACTCGGGTTTACAGAGCCATCCATATACCCTCTATGCAATTTTCTCAATCGCCTTATAAAGAAGAAACCTATTCTTTATGCCACAGGCTTTATGCGCGATGAGCCTATACAAATGTTAGTAGCAAAGCGAGACCAAAAAACCGTACATTCTAATTTACATGACTATAGTTCTCACATTGTAACTCGTAGAGTTGCTGTGATCGACGCTAGATCGGTGTTGATGATCGTTCCTCAATGGGCCTTTCCTGTTGCTTTTTCATTTATCCTCTCAACGCATATACTGTGTCTCCATTCTCCAAATGTCTCTTTAAGGTTAGACCGCTATGTTGTATAGCCTGTAGGTAAAGGGCGGTGATCCTGTGGCTGTCCTTGTCCGGCGTCAATTTTTCGCCCATTTCCCCATATCTCTCTCTCTCTCTCTCTCTCTCTCTCTCTCTCTCTCTCATATACACGCGCCCACACTCATTATATATCCCTCTCTCTCCTTTTCCCTGTGTCTCTGCCTCGTGCTTGCTCTTTTATGCTGTAAGCTTACTTCCACCACGTTTAGCGTATGCCTCGACCTAGGCGTTCCGAAGAGGAATAATGTTCTTTGTATGCTATTACCGACTTCGCCTTGTTTTCAAGGTTGGTGTTCATAGACGTGAGGGGATCGTCAGTACTCTTCTAATGGGTGGAGTTCAGCGGAGTGGAGTTCTTCCCTACCTCGCCCCCAACCTGTGCGATGTGGGTATCTCTGCAATTCCCTGGGTGTGCTACCAGCTCACCGGTTACCTCTCATCTACTCATTCTGCTGAGCGACTACGGATAGCGTCGACGGCAGCAGCCCCGGAGTTTTTTTCGTTTCATTCAAGGTCGTCGACACCAGGCCTCTACGTCTTTATCGCTCGCATTCTTGAAAGCGTGGTACAGGACACCGAAGACAACTATGAAGATTCGAGCAGTTTATCAGGTCGCATACTCAAGGTCGCCTAGGTAGCCTTCATTGTTGTTGTCGCCGTCATCATTCTTGCCTATTTGTTCATTCATCGTTTCTCGTGCGAAAGGCCCCGTAACTTAGTGCCATAACGTTGTATGCTTTGCTTCACAGCATAGCCACACGACAGGCCAAGGCTGTACTTCATTTTTCGTTACAGCGTCCTATCCCTTCCCTATGCCAAATGCTTAGCAATAAATCGCACGCAAGTTTCTACGATTCTCCTACCACGCACTACTCATTTTACCTATCACAACTCGTGCAACACTCATTGTATGCCCGATCCTATTCTTCTCTTTTTTGTTTTCTATGGTTTATTTCTTACTTCGCAAAGAGCATTCTCTAAGAACATTCGTTTCCTGTTTGTTCATTCGTTCGCATTGATGTTCTTGGTAGGTCCTACAGATTCTCAGATACTAGTACAAGGAAGATTGTAGCTTTGTCTCAGGCCCTCGAATGGAAGATGGATAGGACGCCGAAGGAACTAGCCGCCCAAAGACAGGCCGGCCGACATGTGCGGAGCAGGCTGTTGAAAAAAGCAGTACGGCCTTGCTTATTGCTATGCTCCAAGAAACAAAACTGCGTTACAGGTAAATGTCTCGACTTCACCGTCTCTGCTAAAACTGTTTCTCATTGCTAACAATATATCAATTAGCACCAACATAAAGATCATATTGGCAGACCTACATGACCCATAAGGACGTTAGCGACATTTTCGTTAAACAATTTCAAGTCCGATACGTGAACGACTTTCAAGCAAATAAAGAAACGAGCAGAGTATTGACGCGAGAAGATAGAGTAGACACTAGCTTTAGCTCCGCTTGCTCTCAGTCAGAGTTTTCTGCACTGGGAAAGTGTATATCGGTAGGGATCGACGAAAACAAGAAATAAAAGGAAGGTTAGCAGAAATTTCCTATTAGGCAGTATAACACGACTGTAAAGTCGACGATATATATTAGCCGGCAGGTAACCAATGCCGTGTATTAAACAGACCAGATGATTATAGGTACCAAAGGAGTGATAGACGAGCCTAGATTACATATTCGTGTCATGTAACCGGAACACACAACAAAATGTTATATAGTTAAAATTATCAATGGCAGGAAAATTAAGAATTCTATGTTGTTCCGGCTAAAACCGATGAGGATTATAAAACGCGTGTTACGGCTGGTGGCCACAGCTAAAGGATTCAACTCAAATTCAAGGTCTTTAAAAAAAGCCAAGGGCGTTTAAGAAACGGGATAAGTAAAACACGGACTACTTTTAACCTTCTAATCAATTTGAACTTTTGCTTTGCTGCAATTGGTGTAGTCACCTGAAGATAGATAAAGCCACTGTCTCAAAATTTCCGTTTTATCTATCATTTACCTACTTCTAGTATGGCATACCGTTATACAATATCCAACGGAATTTAGCCGAGTCTTTCTTTTTCCAATGGGATTGAAGTGAAACCGCTTTGATTTAACTAGGTTTAGCGATGATCTCTCTGTCGATCAAATGCTGACCTACGAAAGGAAAGGCCATGTATAGTGGTAAAAGTCCTGCAAACGAAGTTCGTGCCTTGGATAGGCAAAACATAGGATAATCAAAAAGCTACCTTCACCGATAATTTGTTTATGTTACGAAGAAATATTTCTACGATAGAATACAAAAACCGTTCATGCAATTCATGGTAGCTTCAATGAAACCACAGCCAGCTGATTTGTATGTGTGCTATACGGTTACGTACTCACCGCATCTAGTCATAGCGAAAAAGACTGAAAGATTCATAGCGCGCATAGGCAAGTAGAGATGGACACTTCAATTGGACAGACACGATTTCGTCCTATCGGTCCAGCTGTTTAGTAGAGCTCAAACAAAAAATGTTCCCGTATCGATCTATTGCAAACATTTTGCGTATCGATATATGTAGATCAACAAAAATCTATTGTCAATTGTAGCCTGGTTAATTTTACGAGTACTCAGTCTGCTGCAGCTTTATCCGTTTTTCCTTTCTCTCAGTTTGGTTCGGTCAATCAAAACAAGACATTTCTTACTTGCGATAGTGATAAAGGCTTAAAGCCCAATGCTTTTACGAGTAACCAGATTATTTACAGGCCGTATCCCTGTCGACCTAACTGCCACAGGTCATCGCCCATAAACTGCACAAACCCTCAGAATCCCAAACAGCTGTCACACAGGCTCATCAGACAACCACCTCTGTGGGCTTACATGGGCTTACATCCTTTTCGCAGTCAGTCAATGTTTTTTTCAGTTCTTTATGCGGCCAAACCACTCGCCAGCTAATCATAGAAATAGATAATTCTGTAACGGGTGATCATCAGCTTTTTGACAACAACCGTCTTCGAACATAATCCAGAAAAATGTTAAGGATGCTATTTTGCAAATCGATGAAACAATCCCTCGATTGAATTAAAATAACTACTGCAACATTACCACTATCATACGTAGGCCGAAAGCAAGTTTTTAGTGAAAAATTTAGTTCTAAACGACGTCTTTCCAATAACGTCATCCAACAAATGATTTCATAGAAAATAATGTTAGAATACCTAAAATTCTAAATCATGTCTTGATCGAGTACGGTGGTAGCAAGGCTTACTGCAAATTGGTTATGGAAGGAATTGGAAGAGTGCGGGCTCTGATACACTAAGCAGTTGATCGATATCTAAATATAGTGAGGCTTCGCTCTATCCAAGGCGCAGCAGTTACCATTGTGCTCCTATGAGCATCTTACAATTTAACCCAGTTTGTCTGCTGCATTTGGGAGCTTTTTTACATACATATTACCAATGGCTACATTAGGCGGTAGTAGTATTTTCCACCACAGCCTAAGCTTTGCGTATCTTTTCCGATCGTGCATCGAAATTGATAACGGTTGATTGTAATGTCCCTGGCACCGAGAGGTAAACCGTCCAGCCGTTAGCATGATTGCTTGTAGACATCTTACTAAATCAACTATCAATTAGGCTGAATAAGTCCAGCAGAGAAAGTAACGGTGTATCATACAGTTTTACAATATTGCCACACAGATTCTGTCTCAACATTAAGTTGAACTCGAGGGCTATTTCTGGAAAAAAGTAGAATGAATTCGAATCAGCTGTCTGTATGGATCTTCTGCACTAATGAAGGTTCTTACCGATCAACACCTCTTGCATGCCACTGATTAGAAGCGCAGACAACCTCTAGCAGTGAGACCCGCATTGCATACTAAAAACATAAACTAAATAACGAAATTTACAGAGATGTATCCAGTATCATTGTGGGTTTTTTACAAATTTATATGAAGTTTATGCTTATTAAATAAGTCAGAATTTGCATTTTTTTTTTTATAATGTTATAGCGGTAGTAGTAGTAGTAGTAGTAACTTTTAATACAGCTTTTGCTATCACCTAAGCACTTAGTCCACGAATTTGTACCGTCTCTCATTCTTCCGTACGTTCTCCCATTTTTGCTCACAAATTATCATTAGGTAAGTTTCCGCTGCTACTATCTTCGGTGTTGTATTTTTAATTTCCTGTCAGTAAGTAAGAAAGTTATCGTAGTGACAAAAGAAAGCGTTTGGTTTAACTTTTCGGCTGGGCTATGTTTATCGACTTCCATTAACCGCCTCACCTTAAACTTAAAGTTTTGGCTAAATAAGTGCTTTCAGTGGATTCGATCCCCAATTCCTGCTGTAAGAACTGCAAATTCTACGTCTGCGATTCTACGACTAAGGCGGTTCGGTGTTTGTCTAACTAATTACTTGTTTTAAATAAAGGTCGAGAATGATTTTAGTTTCTTATTTACGCCGCCTGTAGCGTTCAAGAAGACCACTGTATTTTCCCGCTTTAAGTTAAATACATTAAGTGAACCAACAGTTGAGAACTCAATTTCTTTACTAATAAACTTTGTTGCCACTAAACTCTCTAGCGAGAGATTGGCGAAGTTCAATCTCTACAAGTGACGAGATTCGGCTATATACGATATATCTCGTGTTACATTTTAGCCATCATACTGCGTGTCTAATTAAACACAAAGTCATATGAGTGTACGCAATCTTCACGCGTTTTATTATAAAAGAATCAGATGTTAGCTTCAGAATTAGCTTGTAGAAAAAATTATTTTATCCAAATTATAATAAACTCTCATTTGAATATCAAAAACGTTAAGCTATTGTCCTCCCTTATACCAGCAAAGGTGATTTTCAATGTATACAATATGCCAGCGAAAACGTCTCTTATGGACGTGTTTATTCAATGTAAATGCCCTTTGTTGTAATTACGGTTGAAACGGAGCCTGGACCACTCACCCCTCACTTTGAAAAATTTCTTTTCTAAATTTACAGAACTCGTTAATAGTAACCGCGTATCAAGTATCGCATAAATACTTTTTACACAAACGTATCTAGCCTATTAACGCTGTGATCTACTTGTAGATCGAAAATCCCAAACACCTCAAGGCTCAAAAGCTTCAAAAGAAGTACGAAAAGCCCAAAAAGAACGTACCGTTGCACTTACGTGAAAGGCCCAGCCCAAATAGCGACCATTAATTTTCTTCGGTAAGCAGCAATAATTTTTCCTTCGTACTCCAACAATATCGGTAGTAGCTTTTTGTGCTGTTTCCTCTAATTTTCGGATCCTTTCAATTCATTCCTAGTCGAGCAACCGAACAATTTTATAGCCTCTGGCGGAATTAGTCTGAATGAACACATCTAATCTTCGCTCATACTCCGAAAGTGTCTCTGCAATAATAAGCTTGTGGTTGTGTTTCCAAATAAATCTACGTTGTTCTAGTACCAACAAAAGTGCATACTGAACCCATTCCCGTCGCAACAAACAACTCCCCAAAATGTAATGCATGTTAGGCGGTTACAAGCGAATCCCCCTTTTGAGTTAAAAAAAACTTTTGAACTACGCGCCACTAGGATATGAAATGTTGCTGGTCAGTACTCTAATTTTCTAGAAAATTGCAAGCGAAAACCGGTTGTTTACTCCAGGACAAATTAGTTCGGAAGAAAAATATTTTTTTGTCCCGAAAATCAACACTCAATAGTCAAGTCTATGTTCCTGGAAGGCTATGGCGCTGCAAAAATTCATCGAAGATTGGTGGAGACATTAGGCAAGGAAGCCTTAAGTGCAGTAGATATATGGCGCAAACATTTCAGTGACGGATACTGGAATGCTGAAGCCCAGCCAAAAGGTAACCAGATGTTAGGATGAAGCAGCAAGAACGCCTTACTCTTAATGTGATCGGGCAGGATTCTGTCGAAAGGTTCTGTCAACCGAAATTGGCATTTCACATGTAACGCGCTACAGAATTACGGATACAAATACGAAGAATACAAATAACGAAAAAATAGAAATCGGGTAAAAAAAATGGGTCCTCTGTGAATTGACTCTAGGGCAATCGGAAATCCGTCTGTAATACTACACTATTAATTTGCGGAATTTTTGCTAGCAACAAATTTGCTTTAAGCATACGGTCGCCATAAACGAAGCATGCTTTAATCTCTGTGGCTAGCTGGGAACAGATCAGTCGAAGGTTCAATTGTGGGTTTTCATTCGACTCTTTGGGCTACTCGAATTAACTCTTACGTTGGTGCTTGTTTGTACATGATAGTTGAGATTCTCATTAACGTACACGAAGAAGAAAGGGTAAAGTTTGCCAACCAGCTTCACAAATACATCTGCCTCTTTATTATAACTGACGCACCACGTGGCGGTAACTTTTTTTTTAAAACAAGTTGATATTATCTGTTTCAACTAATGTTCAGTACTCACTGAATTGTATTTTCGTAATTAATTCCTCACTGAATTGTAATTTATATTATTCGTCTTTATTCAGCTGATACAAAGCACATATAGGTAAATCTGAATTCTATTCGTATTCTTAATTTATAAGTGGTTTGGGCCATAAAAAAATGTTTCATTGAATTCTCAGTAACAGATTTATATATGCGCAAAGGATCTCATCTTGTAAAGATTCTGACAACAAGCAATTAGTTATAATGCAAGACACACCTTTACAGCGCGAACTTGTGACATGCCTGAAGTACCGTTTAGTTCATGAACTTAATGCAGGACCGCAAGCAGTTCCTCTGACTGCCTTCTGAATGATACCAAGTGGAAAAACTAGCCCAATAGTTTCTCGCTCACACGCTGGGGTATTGGTTTTGAGTAAGCTTTATAATTTGTAGATCCGCGCGTAAACTCTACCCGCTCGTTGTAGCTAATGCGGTCGTGCACAACATAGACACCGAGCGGAAATTGGCCCCCAATACAAAACAACGCACTAATGACGATGATCAGATGTACGTCTTCCTTTCTCTCTTTCACTTTTTTCAAATTTTGTTACCGCGGGCTCTCGAACAATAACCATACTTATCAAAATAACAGTTTTACATGAAGCATTAGACGCAATCCTACCCATTAGAAATTATCATCTAGATACATCGTTAAATAATAGATACTGTGCATACACAAGCACATCGGTGCAGTCGCTAGACCGTTCACGTTCTAGTCTCTGACGTCGCCTTTTCATCCGCCCGCAAATTGTCCCCGCCTTCCGGTGCATCGGTGATTCGCTGCTCGCATTCGGCTGTGGCAACAGCAACAGCAGCCCTGATAATAATCCCTCTCCCTCCATCACACACATACACCATGTACAGGTGGATGGACGCGGCGGGACTTCGAATCGCGATACGCCGGCTCCATAGCAACAAGTCGAAGAAAACCACTGGCATAGAGATTTTCAATTGATTTGTCATAGATTTAATTACAGGTACGATAATACTAGGCAGCCAGTGCCCGATTGGCTACGGAATTTCATTTTCTGTCACAAAACGCGTTAGTGCTGTTCTTCCAATAGGGCGAGACCAGTTCCCCGTTCGGAGTAGAGATAGCGCCTATGGCTAGCGACGGTGGCCATCTTGTCTTCTCTCGAGACAGGAAACAGCCTGCACGGCAGAGCCAGGCACAGCGTTTGTAACTGATTGGGTACAGATGGTGCTGCTACCACTGGCACGACGATAAGTGAGCGAGTGAGCCAAGCAGGCAGTTGACGATATCAAGACAAGCGCCGCGGCAATTCGACCGACAATAGTGCGTCTGCAATGATCACGACAGTGGACACTATTGACGGCTACGTCTAATTGGCGGAGCAGCAGCAGCAACACAGTAACTCATGTCGGATAAGTAGATACGACGCCGTTAATTATGCAACAGCAACGGTGGCAGTAGTCACAGCGAAAATAAACAACACCCAAACACAGGCGAGTGCGAAGGGGGCAAGAAACACAGTGAATTTCGTCGATCTGGTGGAGCCTCCTTTCCCTCCCCCTACATCTAATCGTCTTCACTCACTGGAACTTCGGGCCGCACAAACGTTTCTCGAAGATGTACGTCACAGAAGCAGCGCCGTTGCCTCCGGTATAATTGGGGACTTTTTAGGCGGCTGGAGCAAAGCATCAATTCCGTCCTGTTCTGGAGGAAAAAAACAGCAACTGCTGTAGTGCGAGGCGTGTATACCAGTGACTACGTGACCACCGTCACAGCCATCGGTCGTCGTCGTTTGTGCGTGTTGTTCTAGCGACTGGCTAGCTGGCTGTTCTAGCCTCGTTGACAACGTAGCAGCGTGAGCCGAAAGAAGGCAAACATTAGTTGATGTGACGGATTTGGCTTGAGTTTGTAACTACACTGGAAATCTATTGCTAAGGCAATGCGAGCTTGTCTAATGATGCTGTTCCGGAGACCGCCCTACAAAATATATACACGTCGCACAGCGCATCCTGCATGAGCCAGCCACAAGTAAGCACGATCACGTCAGAATCGAACAGGACGTCAGGAAACTGTCGATTGCATTGACAGACAGCAACAGTTTTACAACTGTTGCTACAATGAGCAGCGCCTAGTTCGTGTGAATGGTGTCTGTGGAGTGAATCTGCTTGGGGAAGTTGATATGAATATACAGTGACAATACATTGGATATTCATTGGGCAAGCTTGCCACGGAGTTCCGTCGGGTTGTCCTCGATGTTCTATACCCAAGCTGTTTTTGTTGTGAGAGGGGGAAAATTGCGAGTGTCGCTCTAACAAATGTACATGAGCGAGCCAACGACACAACGAGAATCTCAACGATTCATTCACGGGAGCAACAGTACCCGAGACAACTCCACTTGCCGGTTTCAACGAACGACAATCTTTAGCAAGAGCCAAGCAGTGGATACTGCATGTGGCGTGGATCTGTTTGTTTAAGTGCCATTTCGCAACATTTTCGCTGTAGTTTACTACTGCTGGATGCTAATACGTAAATGTGCGTTGACAGTAACGGTTAATCGCGGCGAAGTGCGTGTTACCTTCCTGTGCTATATGATTCTGTTGTTACTACAACGCAAAGTATATCAGACGAAACTGTACACTACAAACTAAGAGACTAGCTTAGTCAGCTGCCGGAAACAGAGCTGAATGCTGGCGCGCTAAAAATAACGACCAAACAAAAGCGCGGTGAGACGAACGCGTCAACGACGATCATCGGACCCGAGAAACGGATAGACAGACGAACAACACAAAGAAACAACATAACGATCATGCAACGGCCGCGGCGCTCGCCGAAGGTAGTGGAAAGATAGTCGGTGCTCGGTGAACGCGGACGAGCGCAACAGAGTCAATCCAGGCATTTAGTGACCAGAGTTGGGCGCTGCCCATCAGCTGGGCTGTTGTCGGCCGCAAGCGACGACGGTCCTTGGCTGTGGGCTGTGCTCTGACGGTCGGTATTTTGATCGGGTACTTCGGCCGCTGGTCGGTTTATCCATCTTTTGTGCATTTAGTGGTGCTACCAATAGTCGCCAACAGCAGCAGTAACATCCCAGCCGACACCAACGCTGCAACGACTGCAGCTGTACTCACTGACTCAAGAACAGTGATTCGACTAGTATAGCACCCGTCCCATCGGCCTATGTGTATGTGGCAGCGGTGTGCTACGTCAAGCAAGTAAGTCATCCTGTCGGCCCGTCTGTCCGGGCTATAGCTGTTAACTGCTCACGGCAGTAATATACAATATATAGACAGCCCGTGCTATACGAGTGGCGGCGCTGTTGCCTATTGTGCAGAGCAAAGGTTTTTTTAAGCGAGTGGGAAAGAAACGACCGCATTCAACCGGTCCGCTACCGTACACCGGCCATCATCGACATCAGTAGAATACATATCGAGTCTGACACTTTAGTTCTGCAAACTAAGCAACTGAACCGAACCCGTAGCGCACGTTGGACCGCACTCGGTCGTGTCTGAAGCATTTGGACAGCTGCTGGACGGTGTCCGACAACGACGACCCAAGGACAACGATGTCCACCTCCACGGCTTCGGCTAGTCGCCTGCGGTGAGATAAACACTGAGACCAAGCAGTGAGCGCAAAACAACAAAAATACAAAAGTAGTGCGACAGTACAGGCCTAGAAGTAAGGTACGGTAAGCCTGTTTTGCGGTGGCAGTAGACTTGTATGTATGTGTGTACCGCTGTGTGAAGAATCGTTGTGTCGTTTGACTGCACCAGAGTGGAGCCCAACACGGTGATCGAGAGCGGTCCCGCGCCCCGCTTTGGGCCATCCAGAGATCGACGACAGCTTGAGCTGCTGCCGACGTCGCATAACGGTCGAAGCCGCCATGGCCGCGACAATCGGTGGATTCGATCGTATGGAGGTGCAGTGCGCTTTGTTAGCGCGCAGTCGCAATCTCACGCTGACGTTGGCACCAGGCTATCAGGGCATCCCTGAGAACTTGCTTATGAACGTCGTCGCCTGGATGTGTCTGATCGTTGTGTACTCGGTGGTGAATCGGACAGCGAAGAACTACGCCCGCATGGCGCTTGTACATCGGTCCGAAAGGTGGTCGGACGTATTTTACGGCCAGCAATACCAGCAGCAACAGAACGGATCTGTGCCGAATGGCAATAGCGCGAACAGTTCTGCTCGCCATCATACCAACAGTAGTCGACGTACTGGCGCAGCGTTGACGGCGGACAGCAACACAAACAACGACGACGATGGTAGTCTTGAGTCGTTGGAGAACGCTAACCGTGCCACATCGTTCTTTTCGTGGATTCACGCTATCTGGAAGATTGAAGATCGCCATGTACTCAAGAAGAACGGACCTGACGCCGTACAATATCTAACATTTCAGCGACACATCATCGTGTTCGTGTTCATTGTTTGTATCTGCGTTATCACGATAATTTTGCCTCTAAACGCGCTCGGTGTTGAATCTAAACTGAACAACAAGTTTGCCCAGACGACGATAGCAAACATTTCTAAGGATTCGAAAAGCCTCTGGGTTCACATCGCTTTATCCTTCGTCTTTCTTCCGCTCGGCGTCGTGTTTATGCGGCGGTTTTCGACGCGACTGCACATACATGCTGAGGAACCTCGAATCGGTCGGACCCTCATGATTGCTGGAGTGCCGCGACGGCATTGTAAGGCCGAGCTATTCCGGCAGCATTTTGCTGAAGCGTACCCACAGTGTATTATACAAGACATCCAGTTCGCGTACGACATACGCAAACTCATGGATCTAGTGGCGCAACGCGAGACTGCCACCCAAGCGAGACTGTGGTGCGAAAATCGAATTGCTGCGACCCACGAACGGCCAATGATGCGACCGTATACTTGTGGTCGGTGTTGCTGTCTCGGTGATTATCTCGGATGTGAACAAGTAGACGCTCTGGACTATTATCGGGCTGAGGAACAGTCGCTGCTGAAACGGGTCGACGAGGAACGCCGCCGAGCTCTGAAGAATCCAGTGGGATTCGCGTTTATTACGTTTGACTCCGAGGAGATGGCCATGCTCGTTTGCAAGGACCATAAGTCACAGTGGCAGTGCTACGTGCCGGGTCAAAGCCAGTCCACCCTTTCACGCGAACTGAAACCCTACCTGTGGAAGGTGATGTTTGCCCCACCGCCAAATGACCTTTTTTGGGAGAATCTGTCTGTAGGAAAATGGGCGTGGTATGTCCGTTCTGTATTCATTAACTTCCTTCTGTTTATTGTTCTCTTCTTTCTGACAACGCCATTCATCATCCTGTCGTCGCTTTCGCCAATTCTCAACATCCAAATGGGTATCCATCCTTTCTTCGAGAAATTTTTGCCGACTGTAATGCTTTGGTGCGTGGCTGCTCTCATGCCGGCAATGGTGACGCTATCCGATCTGTTTATAGCGCACTGGACCAGATCGTCACGAAACCATTCGGTGATGAAGAAGATTTTTATCTTTCTCTTATTCATGGTCCTAATCCTGCCGTCACTAGGACTATCAAGCGCGGAAAGTTTCGTCGGCCGTCTCATGCAATATCGGAACGCGACCGAGGTCTGGAAGTGTCTCTATCTCCCTGACAGTGGGGCCTTCTTCGTGAACTATGTGATCACCTCGTCGTTTGTCGGAACAACAATGGAGCTAATTCGATTTCCACAACTCTGCCTGTATCTAATCTACACGTGCCTATCCCGGTCCAAAGCTGAGCAGTACGCCGTTCAACGAAACTCATTATTCGAGTTCTACTTCGGTGTCCATTACGCTTGGTACTTACTCATGTTTGCTATCATTATGGTTTACTCGATTCCGTGCCCGCTCGTCACTCCGTTCGGGGTTCTGTATCTCTGTTTCAAGCATTACGTGGACAAATACAATATCTATTTCGTCTATAACCCATCGAAGACGAACAAATACATCCATGCAACAGCGATTGACTTTGTCATCATCTCGCTGATTCTCCTTCAGTTCGCACTATTTATGTACCTTTACTTCAAATCGGACGCGTCCATGTATACCGTGGTCATGTGTGTCATATTCATGATGTCCTTTTGCCTTTTCCTTGGCCAGGCCATGATTAAGTGCTTTCGAGATTTTGGACCTATTAAATACGTTCGCCAACTGCAAAAAACGCTGGAGCGGCGACGATCACGTGAAACGGGCTTGCGCGTCCGGGACAATCCGTATATACCGGATGCGTTGAAAAGCCGCCCCATTCCTAATTTAAATATGTCGCAGTCTGCCGGGAACCTGCCGCTTTACGGCTCCGGTGCGAAAAGTGATAGCGGTATACATCTCGGCAAACACGGTAATAATGCGACTGATGCGTCCGCAATTGCCGCGAGCGGCATGCCCGGGGGAGTTCTACCGGCTGGTCCGGGATCATCGGGTATATCAGGATCCACACAAGAACTGGCCATCGCGCCTCGAAGCCATTCGATGAACGATCTCCTATCGGCGGGCTCCGAAAGGGTCGAATTTTCGTTGGCCTGCGAGGACGTGGGGGTTACGACCGAGGAAGAGTGCGGCTCTACGGAGGCCGAAGCCGAAGAGGAGAAATTGCGTAGGGTAGTGCTGACAGCCAATGGTCATGTCAACAACTACCAGCGCTTCTGACAGTTGAGGAAGTTCTCGACGGGATAGAGCTGCGCAGTGGGGTCGAACTCGCTGCCGGACCCCGTCGAGCTTTAGCTTCTCGTGTCATGTCATCGCTACCACCGCCGCCACTGCTACGATTGCAACCGAAGAGTGAGTCGCTCCATATGCAAACGAGGAAAACATCCCAGATCGTAGACATTGCCATTTACCACACACCCATAAACAATAAGCCAACGAATGCTGCAGCGGCAAATTGCAAACTCAACTCACTGATCATTGTAAGCTTCTAGCTAATATATCTGTTACCGCCATAATTACGATATATGAGGAGCTACAATGTCAGTGCTCTGCCTGCAGCTAAGGTAAACTTGAGGCAAACAAAGCCGTTAAAACTAACATAACGGTCACCATATCGTCATAGTTATCACTCCGCATTGGCACCGGTCGTTATTCATAGGCGGAATTGCAGGCGTTTGCCATAATGGCACCTGTCAATACAGCATCTGCAGGTGGAATGCGTGTTTGATCCTCTCTGACCGATGGCTTACCGTGCGGACTAATGCTTGCAACCACCGACACTCTCCTCTGAATCAAGAGCACTAAGGGGAAATTAACTAAAGTTTAGGCGATGACAACCGAAAGTACAGAGAACTCGACGCTACACTGTTTATTAGTATATGCGAAATCTGATAATTATTAGTATCTGCAAATCGCAGAGGTCTTGGAGCTCGCCAGGGCGCATGTAACGGCTGAGATGCTTCGACGCTTCTGACTGTCATCGACTGGTGACTAAGTCCGACATTCGGAAACCATGCGATCCCGAACCCTGCATACCCTCGTGGCGCACATCTAACAACGTTTGCATGACGAGGAACTGGTTGGCGGGTAGTTCATTGACACCCACTTACGTTTTCACAAGTGATCGCTGGCCAACGTAGTTTCTCTTGGCCTAGCATCTGGTGACAATGACGCCCGAAACAACAAATTGCTACAGCAGGAGCAGCCTGACGACTATTTGATCTGTACGTATCCACATGTGGTTGCCAAATAAGGGAAGCGTGCAAAAAAATTCGAACCTGACCTCTAACGATGACAGACAACCTCGCTCATATACAGACAGGGAAGCAAACGCAAAATAAGCTAACGAACCAGCAAGCTATTAATAGTTGCGGCTATAAATGAAACGAGTTGACTGCCTTCGCAAGCCTTTCAAGATTCATACATCTACATAGCACACATATAGCTCTATTTATAAGACATTGTCAACGTAACTGTAAAGCAGTTAATGACCATGGCTAATTCGAATGGTTCTTGTCGTAGCTAAAAAACGCACAGCGAATGCTCTCCGCTATAGGTTTGGAGCCGGCTGAAGAAGGAACGAATGACAGAATGGCGGTACCCATACTGTAATAATGATAATTATTATACTAACCGATAATAGCACGAGAAAAGAAAATGTAAAAGAAGCACATGAGAAACATATATGTATATATATATATATATATATATATATACATATATATATATATATATATATATATATATATATATATGGTGTAATGTATCGTAGAGGTAAGACAAATACAGGTGCGATTGCTACTACAGAACGAGGAAATGCAAAATCAGCCTATGTAGCGGCGGTTACATCATGGAAAAGCAGTGCTAAAGAGAAGCAAGCCACATCAATACAACAACTCAGAAAAACGCAAACCAGTAAAAAAACAGATGGCGGGGATTGCAAAATTGATTCGACGGGCAGACCGGGAGAGATGTATGTAAAGACGTACCTAATCGAATGGTGAAAATGCAGTGGACGACAAATTCCGTAAGCGGATTATCTGCGATTGCCGTTCAAGGTTATGGTGTAATGGGGATGACAACCTCTATATCGTAGCAGTAGAAAGTACGGAATAGGGAGAGAAAAAGCGAACGGGAGAAAGGAAATTATCAAAATACTGAGAAGGTGCGAAAAATAATACAATATTGCTGAAGAAATACCACAGGATGTGATCGTTAATGAAACGCTATAGTAGGCTATTAACTGCTAATACTGTTATTGATTTCATTCCATTTAATCACACTCGACTTGTACTTGTGTCGTTATACCAGATAGTATCGTTACGGACTATCATTAAGCTGCTCCGGATATAAACATCCTAGACATCGTGAGTGGACCTTTAATTTTTGGTGATGAGTGTGACATGGACCTTCTGCGATGCGATTTGTGAATACATGAGCAGTGGGTGAATATGGCTGTTAAAAAAAACAGTGTGAGGTGACAATGAGGACTTGAGTTACACCACACGACGCTGAAGAATCCGCTACGTCATGTAGATAATCCGTGATGTATTTGGTAACGCCAGAAGTTTGGCATGTGTTTAGATGTTAGCATACGGAAGAGTGTACGTGTGAGTGTGGTACATCTGTCAGTGAGTTTGTAGGGCTATGTTTAGTTACCATTTGCTGGGCTCTGAGGTGAAGGATAAACCGCATCTCTAGATTTGGCAAATAAGCGTTTATGTTTATTAGGTCAGCATGGCCTCAAAAAAATCTGATGCAAGTATCTCGCTAAATTTAGGTTAGAAGCTTGATAGGAAAGACAGTTCGTTTTTTGTAGCATGCGTGAAATCGTTTTCTTGCTTTGTATGTACAATACAACGATATTGACGGCGGTTGAGTAAAGCTACAGTGATGCTTAGACGGTGTTTTTAAAAACGTGGTTAATATTGCCATGCAGACGATTCATTCTCAATGAAACTTCAGCGCCGTTGGTTCTTATCTAGGATTTCGGGTGTGACAAATTTTTCACATCAGTTCTTTTTAAGGTGGAAATCATTAGCTTTTAGTCCCAGTAAAAGCCCTGTCTGCTGTCCCGGGTGCTTCTAAAAAAAAACACCCAATACAACGCGAGATGTTCACAATTGGGCTCGATCGGCTGAATCATTTTTCCTATTAAATATTTCAGTTTTTCTCACAAATCGTAATTGAAAACCTTGAGATTCTCGGCAGCAAAACGGTACGTTTTCAACAAGTATATCTTCATTTTACATCCAGAATACGTCAAGTAGCACAACACAGTCACTGTTCGCTATACCAACTATGCCTCCTGCGAGCGATATTTTCGGGAGAGGTCTTATATGTAAGGATTCCCTTATGCTTTTTGAAATGGGGTAAGTTTAATTTACTGTGGTAGACGTAATGTTTTGTCGAGTTGAAACTAAAGTGTGTTATCGAATAGTGATCTGTATTGCCATCGACGCGTTGTTCGGGGTCTCTCTTTTGTAACTTTATTTATTCTTCAATCATTCGCTTTTTACTACCTTCACCTCGTTCTGTCAAAGCTTCTTGTATTAAGCAACGTACATCACACTAGACACTGGAGGTCACTAAGGTGGTCTATATATCTATAGAATTGATCATGAAATGATTGTATATGCTAACTATATATTTGTGTATACGTATATAGAGAAGAAAGGTTGGATGCTGATGATTCAGCTATTGCTACAAATTGATGGATAAAAGAGAAATGTCGTGATTGTGTCTCACGACAACAAACGACCTCAAATTCAGACATGAAAGGCCTTCAAGTGGGTCAGATAAATGGTTTTTTGCAGCGGTTTTTTATCGTTTGTACTGTTGACCATTTTTGAGCTAGGGAAACTAATATTGCTGATACGCTGATGTAGAAATAGAGTAGAAAACGAAATTTCATAATAATTCTAGACCAAGGCAGCCACGTAAAATAAAAATGGGCTTGGGAGAATCAGCTAACATGTTAAACTGATTATGAATACCGTCCGGTTGATGGATGGGTCTGAAAAGACGTTGTTTTGCTATTTCGAAGAACGGGAGAGCAGAATTGTACGCTGGGTTCTTTTACCTGAGAGAGCGTCAACTTGAAAAATTGCGCTATTGAGAGTCCTTTTGAACGTTTCATGTATTTTATTGATTGTCTCTTTTTTTAAGGCATAGTCAATTTATCCTTGAATTGATGTAAGGGATAATTCTATCTGAGAAGAAGTTAATGGGCATAAGGTTATGTCCATAATCCTGAAATGATTATTTTCATAGCTTATTTTACATAGAAAGTATTGAATGCGTGCAAGTTATGATAAATTTAATCGTTCGCTATATATGTGTATACATGTCTAATATATACTATTCTTAATTCGGACGAGTTTAGACGTTGGAGTAGTTGATGAGAGATAGTTTATCTGTGATTTGGATGGATTCTCCCTTCGTGTAAATTTCTCCATAAAAAGGATTTTTACTGTGGGATCGTTATTCGAAAATGGTGACCTTCGGGCATCGCCCGTCTTTTTTAATACGTGAACGCTTTACTGAGCGCGCGTCACTCGGCCCGACCTATTTATTCCGTGATTTGTTCCGTGCCATGCAATCGCCCTCTTCCCTATTGTCGCCTTAGTTTCCCAATCTATAGATGTTAACTTATCTCTGTCTGGAAGATTGTTTTGGGCATACGCAGCTTAACGGTTACGTAAGAGTTAAACGTACGGCAATCCTGCAGGTGTAAGATCTGGTTCGGAAGCAGCAAGATCTACTTGAACCTTTCTGGAAGATAATGTATTGGACAACTGAATTTGTAAGCGTCACGCGTCTGGCAGAGTGACGCAGAATTACCATTGCATTGCATTAACGTTTATAAACGATTAAAAGTAGAGGGAGGAAAAACTCAAGATTTGGCCGAAATATTTTTCTGACTACTATTTTTCTAAAATATTACAACTTGTGACATTTTACAAACCCTTCGCTTGCTATTAAGTAACTATACGGCTCTCAAGACTAATCGATGACAATAAGGTTTATGTATCAGTGTATTGATAATTAGGCCATTGCCAGCTGGTTCTACTACTCTTGTGTAGAGAATTATTGCTTGGTTCTGGTAGCATTTTATCTCGACTCGTATTTTTGTGCTACTATTGAAAATGGCCCGCGAATGTAAAGCATAGCATAACGAATAATGAAATGGTCTAGTAGCAATGTTAAAGCAAGAACAACCTGCAGGTACCGATTGCGCGGTGAGGTGTTCCAGACTCCGATCTATGTCGCTTTCGAATTTGCTTCCTCTCTGACTGATTACCTAGGCTTTAGATGTTGATCTGACGTACTTTCTTTATCTTTCGATTATACGCACTGAGGCTTCTTTTCCCAAACCAAAAAAGGTGATCCATATGATTCTTTCTCAAAACCCCAATAATAATGTCAAAGGAAATCGCACCGACTCTCCCCTCTTGTTTAACTAAGAGATAACTACTAAGCAGATATCAACTTTGAGGACATATAAACACAAACAAAACATATGCAATGTTATTGTTAAGGAAGACGTAGGTTTATGTCATAATTTGTATTAGTAGAAACAACAGTAAAGAAAGTGATAGTAATTATTACTATATAAAACAAACGTGTAGTAGGAAACGTTGAATATTTTGTTATTATTACGAAGAAAATTGTCGAACTGGAGCCTTCAACAAATATGATCAACTCTGTTAATAATGCAAATTTTGCTGAAGATAAACTGAGCAGCTGCGAGAAGTTCCTGGTAGTACGAACACCAATTTAGCAAAGGCAAAAGGTAAAAACGTAAAGCCGAGGCAGGACATATATGCATACACAAAAGCGAATGATAGACTCTGTCTTGATACGTAGAGACATGTAATAGAAAGTTTCGATTGCCCTGAGCATGAACATAGGGAAGCTATGTGTATGTCCAATAGCGAACGGAAGATGACGTTGCGTTTATATGTAGATGAGCGCACTGAATGCTATACCCGAACGGCGGTACGTGTCGGTGTTGCTGTCAAAACGTAATTGGCTTCGTATTTCCTTCCTCTGCATATTTTTGATCCTCCTGATTCTTCTCCTGACACATAATACAATACAGTGTTAATTATTAGAAAATATAGACAATAGCACACGAATCGACCCTGTGGCATGAGTGTGTGTACTGAATATCTAGTGAAACCATATAGCGCTAGGTGGGCGCGAACACCTATAGCAAAGTGATTAGCGGTCAGTAAAACAAAGAGATTATGGACAATTATGGCAAAGTCAACAATAACTCTGATTTGATAATGCAGATAATAAGAACCCCTATGGTGGCTATAGAAGGGTCTGGCCATCATCGTCCTAGGAAATTGAAAGCATTGACAATAATGACTTGAGCAGGTCTGTGACAAGGACACAGGTGAAAAGCGAAACTCACGTTGCTTAGCCAAATGTTGCTCCCCTTCAGAGGGTCGTCCATATATATATATATATATATATAACACTGTTTTCATAGCATTCGATTGTACATTGTACATTTACGAAACATCATATGCTAGATAAATATACATATATAAAACCGCAATGCATAGAATATATAGCCAACATTTATTTAAAAACTACAAGAGAGATTGTACTGTCACACTATCACAATTGACTGATTGTGGAGAATGAAGAAGCTGAGGC